GCATTTTCTAATATTTGTTTTATTTCTTATCAATATTCATTTACAATTTGCGACAAAAAGCGTGTCTAATATTGGATTATCCATTTTATTGTTACACTACATTATTCAGTCTAATCAGCAAATGTTACTTATCTACATTGTATAATTATATCAATATCAATTATAGCCTAATCAGTGAATGCTACTTAGTTACATTGTCTTATATTACATTGTCCAATCTATTCAGCAAATGTTACTTGACTGTATTGTCTTATATCACACTATCAAGTCTAAACAGCAAATATTACTTGTCTGCATTGTCTTATATTGCATTATCCATTCTAATCAGCAAATGTTACTTGGTTACATTGTCTTATATTACACTATCAAGTCTAAAGAGCAAATATTACTTGTCTGCATTGTCTTATATGGCATTCTTTAGTTTAGTCAGCAAATGGTACTCAACTGCATTATCTCATATTGTATTATCAAGTCTAAACAGCAAACGTTACTTGGCTGCATTGTCTTATATTGTATTATCAAGTCTAAAAATGAATGTTACTCGACTGCATTGTCTTATATTGTATTATCAAGTCTAAAAATGAATGTTACTTGGCTGCATTGTCTTTTATTGTATTATCAAGTCTAAACAGCAAATGTACTTGGCTGCATTGTCTCATATTGTATTATCAAGTCTAAAAATGAATGTTACTTGGCTCCATTGTCTTATATTGTATTATCAAGTCTAAAAATGAATGTTACTTGGCTGCATTGTCTTTTATTGTATTATCAAGTCTAAAAATGAATGTTACTTGGCTGCATTGTCTTTTATTGTATTATCAAGTCTAAAAATGAATGTTACTTGGCTGCATTGTCTTATATTGTATTATCAAGTCTAAAAATGAGTGTTACTTGGCTCCAATGTCTGATGTTGACTCATGCATTCAAATCAACAAATGTTACTTTGCTGCATTTTCTAGTGTTGCCTTGTCGAGTCCAATCAGTGAATGTCCGCCATCTTGGACAACACATGCTCCATTCATCATTGATGCATCATCCGATGCTAGGAATCCAATAAGTTTGGCAATTTTGTCTACATCTCCTACTTTACCCAATGGGGTACATTTTTCTACACCAGAATATATTTTGGACACTACTTCTTCTGAAACACCTTCTTTCTTGAAGTTTGCTGTTTTTATCACTCCCGGACATACAGCATTGACACGAACTCCTTGGCTGCCATACTCCAATGCTGCACATTGTGTGAACATATTCAATCCTGATTTCGCTATACTGTAGAAGGGACCGAAGTCAGATGCAGTGCACCCAATCATGCTTGAATTATTTATAATACTTCCGTTGTTTCGTTTCAATTCTGGCAAGCATATTTGAGATAGAAGGATAGGTGCCCGCAATAAGACTTTAACAAAGTTATCAAAAATCTCAATAGCTCCTGACAGATCATGAAATGCACCATACCCTGCATTGTTTACCAAGATATCAATTTTGCCAAATGTTTTTACAGCAGTTTCATGGATGCTTTTCAGAACATCATCATCCCTGAAGTCTCCTTGGATGTAAGGAAACTTTGCATTCTCGACAGCAACTTTTTCACATTCAGCAACAGTTTCTTTGATAGTGCTTATATCTCGTCCATGTATCAAAACACTTGCTCCCTCTTTAGCCAATAAGATTGCAGTTGCTCTGCCAATGCCAGTACTCGAACCAGTAACTATGGCACACTTTTCTGAAAACCTCATTTTACTACCTGTAGAATGCCTATACACTCAAAAAATTGTAATATCTGGTATTTCAGTGTCTTTATTGTCACGTATGCATTCTTACAAGTGTCATGTTGACCTTTTTTGTAAATACACTTATGTGAAAACTGCTTCCAATTAAGCCTGAATCCTTGTAATGTACTGCATTAAATGTGTGCAAAAATGAATCAGAAATAGGAGTATTTACCTTATTTGAGGTAACAAGTTACTGGTAACAAGACAGTATTTCAAGTAGACTATAATTTAACCAAACAATTTGACAGCTGAAAATGAAACTGTGTAATCCAGCAACAGTATAGATTGTTCAGACTTGTATACAGGACAGCTTCTCTTACCTTTCGGTGCATTTACGGTGCATTATTCAGGCCTGCAGCCAGATTTTGTCAAGGGGTTGAAATTCTATGGGTTTCAAAGGTCAAAATAGTGAGTCGGGCCCTGACTAGGGGCTTAAGTATTTAAAAGTTTCACTTCAAAAGTCTACCTTACTTGAGAATCTTTAATTCTTTAGGGTTTGTCAAAAAATGGGTACTGGGACCTGAATCGTCCATGCAGGGTTCAAGTTGGGTACACTGTACCCTGTTGAAAAAACTGGGCGACCAAAAATGGGTACTGTAAATCTAGTCTCTGTCTATATTTCAAAATGAAATTCCTACGGATTTTTGTCTAGTGGGATAATCTTGATTGAAACATGGCTCCTGACAGATCAGACAGATCCAACAAAAAAATTTAAAAAATAAATTCTGCAAATTACTAAAAAGCATGCATGTGATATCTAACTGTACAGCTCATAAAATCTAAGTATAACATGTAATGTGTCTTGAGATCACAACCCCAAATGTGGACCTAAAGTACATATATGCTTAGCCCTTTTAAACTGAGAGGAAAATTGCTCATAACACCATCATTCTGTCGTTGTCTTCATTTTAAGGTACAAACACATAATGTTTTATTTCTAATTTGTTAGAGGACAGATTTCATTCTAATAAGAATACAGGCTGAAAAAGGTTCAAATAATTGATACCCAGTTTATATGTACCCATTTTTTGGGTACCCAGTTTTTTCAACAGGGTCATTAAATTATATTGAAAGTTCTTAAAAATATTGAAATTGATTGATGATATATTCAGTTCAGATAACCCAAATTTTTAATTCTGAAAATAAGTTTTGTAAGTAAATCTGTGACAAATTGTTAAAGCCTTTTTTACTCAGTTGAAGGATTTAGCAAGGTCATAGAACATTTTTTGACGATCTTTTCTCATGTTATCATAGTAACCGATTTTGTGATGGATGTCAAACCTGTACAAAGATCAAAGTGAGTGAATGAATTGCAATGAAAACGTTATTTCACCTTCTTCCAAACTGAAAATACATTTGTAATAATGCATGTAGCTAAACAACTTAGCTTTAATAAGACAAATATGCTAGTTTCTGCTTCCTTTTTCCACTGAAAGATACTTAGCATCACAACAAGGTTAAAAGGTTAAAACTAAAAAATTGCAGATATGACTTTAAACATTAAACAGTAATATAGATAGCCAAATACAATTTTTCAATATGAGATTTTCTGGAAAGTGTGCAATTGTTACTGGTTCGAGTAGTGGCATTGGCAGAGCAACTGCAATCTTATTGGCTAAGGAGGGAGCAAGTGTTTTGATACATGGACGAGATTTATCAACCATCAAAGAAACTGTTGCTGAATGTGAGAAAGTTACTGTCGATGATGCAAAGTTTCCTTACATCCAAGGAGACATTGAAGATGATGATGTGCTGAAAAGTATCCATGAAACTGCCATTAAAACATTTGGCAAGATTGATATCTTGGTAAATAATGCAGGATATAGTATATTTCATGATTTAACATCAGGATGTCTGCAGTTGTTTGACGATATGGTAAAAATAATGTTACGAGCCCCAATGTGTCTGTCACAAATGTGCCTGCCTGAGTTAATAGAAAATAAAGGAAATATTGTAAATATATCTAGTGCTCTAGGGGTGAAAGCTACAGATATTTTGCCATTTTATGGCATAACCAAATCTGGATTGAACATGTTTAGCCAATGTGCAGCTTTAGAGTTTGGTCGCCAAGGTGTCAGAGTTAATGCTTTATGTCCAGGTCTGATAAAGACTGATTTTATAAAGAAGGCAGGGGTTCCCGAGGAAAAAGAGACAGAACTATACTCAAAGAAGACAAGATGCGTCCCAATAGGTAAAATTGGAACCATGGATGAAACTGCAAAGCTGATTGCATTCCTGGCTTCTGATGATGCGTCAATGATGAATGGTGCATGTGTTGTTCAAGATGGCGGACATTCACTGATTGGACTCGACAAGGCAACATTGGAAAATGCAGCCAAGTAACATTCACTGATTTGACTTGATAAATATGACAATTTGGACAAGCAATATTAACTAATTAGACTGGATAATGCAAGTAACATTTGCTGACATATTTAAGGAATAAAGCTAAAGACCTAGATTTTATGATTTTTTAAAAGACCGAAATAGCGAATGAGAATAAAATTTGAGGTCATATATTTGACATAAATCATAAAACACCAAAGCGTAGCAAATCCAATCGAACAGCCATGGATGGCATTTTTACAAACAAAGTATATAGCGAAAATGGCAGCCATTGTTCAAAATGGAGGCCTTCTACCAAAAGTGTCATGAGACAGTGTGCCATGCTTATAGTATTTATATACCAAATATGAACAAAATCGCTCCACTGCTTTTTCGGGTCATAATGAAATATGTTAAAATGGCGGCCACTTTTCAAAAATGGTGCCCATTTTTCAAAATGGCTGCCTTCTACCAAAAGTGTCATTAGACAGTGTGCCATGCTTAAAGTATTCACATACCAAATATGAACAAAATCGTGCCACTACTTGTGCTTCTTTAATATCTACATTTCTAGCTTTGATAATGTCCTATATAATTTTTTACATTTAAAACATATTGCTATTACAGTTTTACATATTGCACCTAAATTACTGTAAAATCGGCACTAAAATGGCCATCATTTTTGAATTAGCGGCCATTTTGAAAATCGGCTTTCGAGAAGAACTTGTATCCCCATAGGGTATATGTGTACAAAATATGAACAAAATCGGGCCAACTGTACTTGAGTTATTGCCCGGACTGACGGACTGACGGCACGGACGGACGGATGGAGGCGTTCCCTATATCCCTCTGCCCTCACCCTTGGCAAAAGCTGGCATGCTAGCATTTCAAGTAACTTACCGCTTGGCATCTCTTGAAAGCAAACTTAGTCTCCTGAAGAACATTGATGACAGTTTCATGCGACAAGAAGGTCTCTCCACCGTAATTCTCAATAGATGGCCCAATGTTGATGTTTGCCTTCTGACCAATCACAGCTTGGAATTCTCTCCGAAAGTCGTGAATCCTGTAATTTAAATCACCATATTTAGTCATGTTCTTGAATTCCCATATCCTGGATATATCCATAGATATTATGTTATTCGCATTTTACTTTAGCGATGTCATATTTTATATGTCAATTTATATGTTATGGTTTCTAGATACTTAATGTCTAACGTGAACATATACTTGCCCGCTGGAGCGAGTTTTAAGCCATGACCTTGAAAGCTATCTCAAGGTCATTCAATTTATCAAAGTTAATATTAATAAAATTTAAATGTTGAATATGTTTGTGAGTAGTAACATGCGCATTCAAATATCTAACATTTCGTTATATAAAATGGCAAATACCAACAAAGAATATCATACAAATATATGTTAGAGTATTATGCAATTCAAAGATTGTTATTGTTAACAGTAACCTGTATCTGAAGACCTCTCTAATCTGAACACCTTTCCACGTGAATGCTTTTTGGGTTTAATATTCTTAATACGATTAACATGTAAAGAAGGCATTAACATGCAAAATGTTACCACCTGCCACTTGTTACAAATACTGACCGCAGAACACCACCCACTGAATGATGAAAATGTCACCACTTCTGGCCATGACATATAAACCTTGAAATGTGAACACCTATCTATCAAAACATTTTGGTAAGTCCCAGTGGTGTTCAGGTTAGACAGGTTTTACTGTAGTCAAAACAGCAACTGTCAAGGGGAGATTTAAACATATAAGACCCTTTAAACATAGAAAGATGTTCAGAACATATGCATGAAGCCAAAGTATAAGAACCTGATTCATGCACAGTGTAGGCCCTAAGGGCCAGTTTGCTGGTCATTACCAGGTTAATTTTAAAACGGAAGAGTTGAGTAATGCCATTTTGACCAGCATGTTTGAGATCCTTAAAGCCTACACTGTTCATGCATATTATTCTGTTACGCCCAGTCAAAATACAAGGTCTATGAGATAAGACCATACTTGGAAACATTAATATAAAAAAACTGCATATCCTGCAAATGCCCAGATGTTAGTATAATTAAAAAATCAACCCGTACAGATACATACAAGATGGTGGTTGCACAGCAGGACAAGATATGTACTTCTTTGAATTCATTACACTTCATTTTCTCACTAAACAAGCAAGAAGGTGTTCACCAGGTTTTTGTTGACTTGGGTTGATTTCCAAAGTTTCTTGGCCTGTTGATCTCAATCATGCCTAATTTTAAATGATTTTAGGAAATCTTAATCAAAATATGTATTAATTGTTATTTTTCGCACAATTTTCTTTAAGTGTGAAACAAAAAAGAAAGGAAGGAATATGTCTGAGGCGGTTCACCTCAATACAAGAGCCCTTCGAACATCCTGAACTGAGGCATTTTCACCCAATATGTATCTGCATGGGTCAGAAATAAAAATTGAAAATACAAAAAGAAACCCTTTTGCCATACCCTACCTCTGACCAGGTTTTACTTGGCTGTAAATGAAATGAATCACTACATAATTATCATTAATGCACAACTGAAAGCAACATATCTATCTAAATAAAACACTAAATTAATGAACATTAAATTTGCATAAATTCTTGAGAACTGTATAATGTATCTGAAAATACTGGCAGAAGATGACAACAAAGTTCAGTTCAAAATTTCAAAACGTGGTTTCCGAAAAACTGTTTTATTCAAAATTGTTGAATGTATTTTTTTAATTAATAGGAAAACTAACCTTGTATTTTGATGATCAGTTTATAAAAATGATATTATTTGCCAAAGAACAAGGTTTATTTTATCATGAATACCCCCTATCGTTCAACCAATTCAACCAATCTTGACATTATAAACCAAAACAAAACCATAGTACTGACCAGGGGCTAAAGCTAGAAAAACAGTGTTGACAAAAACACATAAGCAGATAGCAATTCTAAATGGCAGATCTTGAATAACAAGGATACGGATAACCATCACTAAACTTATTTCTTGCTAAAAAATTGATAGCCCCGCAAAGACTCCACCTCTAAACAAAATCAACTTTCTATGGAGCGTAAAATTATTTCCATGTAAGCTTCTCCACCGAAAAAAAAAAATCATGAGCCTACCCTCCTGTCTGGATGTTTTTCTTTTGGTGACCTTTGTTTTCGTAATATCTCTGAAGTACTGCAGTGCACCTGTCCCTTAGGAACTTAATCTCAAGGCTAAAAGATAACAATGTTATATCATAAAACTGCATGTATGAGTTGATCTTATAAGGTCATTTGTCTGATATTCTGTTAAGTGAATAGGCTTTAAGAGTTAAATGTCACTTTAAAAAGTCACTTTCTGTAAATCACTAAAATCACATTTGCCAAATACAGACTTAATAACAAGGTAGTGTTTTTTTCTATTTTCATATTGTGCCTCTCTAAGTGAATTCAATGATTTGGTCTACTTATACCTAAAACAATTTTACCTACACTATAAATTTTAAATGTGATCGAATATCCTTACCCTATGTATGTCTCCAAATATCTATGGAAAATATTTTTGGTGATCTTTGTGAGGAAAGTTGAATCACTCCCGAGTCGTAAAACAGAAAGGTCATTTGATAGTTTCACTGTCTTAGTGTAAAGTTCATACACATTTTTCAAGTATTTTTCCTGATCTTCAGTATCCATAAGTTTTGTTGTAATATGCTCCTGGAATGAGAAATTTTGTTTGTTGAATTACAGAAATTATAATCCTACGACAATACAATATTTTAAATTCAGATATCTGAAAGCGCTTATACTAAGAGAGTAGAGGTTCCGAGATAATGTTGGTTTGCAAGTACATGAATATAATTTCAATTGACCTGCACAATGTGTAATGACAAACAATACATAATGACAAACAATGTATAACAACAAACAAGGGGCCCTTTTATTTAAAAACCCAGACTCTTATATCAAAATGGTCATTCAGGACACCAAGATTTGAATAGAAAAAAGGTGTTTTTATGCACCAGCCATTTCTTCACCTTGATTTTTCCTTCATATATGTTGAGCACAAACTTGGCCATAACTGGTTCAGGGTTTGTGAAGCATTCATTAATCAGCTCACTAGTTTTCATGCACAATGGGAATGCATCAGCGAAAACATCAGGCTTTAAGAATGCATTGTATTGACATTGTTCTATGAACGCATCTATGCATTGGTTGTAGCCCTGAAATAATAGAGAAGGTAATTTGTAAATGTAATTAAGACATCAATGCTAAAAATTGTTACATTAATGCACGGAGTCACAAAAACAGAGACAATAACAATATATGTCTCTACTAGATGGAGTAAAGAAAACTCTAACCCCGACTATGGATATATTATAACACAATGGAACATACCTTGAAGTTTGCGAGTACTCCAGCGATTTCTTTCATTCTTGCCTTGTCTCCGTTCTGCTGAGATCTCACAAAATCTTCTATCAAATCTCGTTCTATCTGGTCATACTTGTGCCCGATTCTCAGTTTCGCTTTTTCAAACCTAAAATGAAAAAAATCAAAGTATGGTTAAAAATGTTAACTTCCCAAAAATAACAATTTATGACTTTTTGACATGGCATTTTAAAAATTCATTAATTTCTATATTGAATCTGATATGTAAATCCCTCTTTTAGAAAATAAAATTGGGATTGAAATTGTAAAAAAAATATTGGCATTGGTAGGATTTCCAGCAAAATTGCTTCAACAATTTACACTTTTATACTTTATAATTCCGTTAAGTGACATCATGTCAGAATTTTCTAATTTGTCAGAATTTTATCTGAATCTTTGTTTTGAAAATTGATCTTAGTTCACTTACTTTTCACCAGGTGGCAGTTCTTGCACAATCAGATGTAGTTTCTGCATAACATCTGCTGCTTGGTACAGCTGTAGAACATAAATGAACATATATTTTAAACACTACCTGGTATTATAAAACTAAAATAAACAAATATGGTAAATATTAATATAAGTGGACCAAAATAGCAAATTACTTTATTCCACTGTGTCACCTCAACAATTTCATTCCAGGAAATAAGATGTATATACAAGTATAACAAAAACATTACCTTGAACGGATCTGAAAAAAGGTCTGATGTGGGTCCTTCATTATTTAGGAACTCTGAGAAATATTGCATCAACTTCTGCGCCTCTGCAGCCCTAGCTCGGGGCGTGTTCACATTCTCTAGCTGGTCGCCAAGGTGGACGACTTTGGTTGCAACATAGTTGATGCGCTCATCTAATTCTTGGAACTTTTGGAATGCAAGCTGAAATTTATGAGAGCTGTGATAAACATATAGGAGCTTTTGACATTGTGATTTTCACTCAGTGTTTATACAGTGCATGTGCACTCACATAATATACATTTCTATACAAGGGAAAATTCTTGAGTGAATTTGCATCACTGCTCTTCAACAAACACATCCAATTTTAAAATCCAAAATATTGTAAAATAAATTGGAATCAGTGAAAAACAGATGATATGGGCAAGAAGTCAAGATTGGGAAAAGAGAAAATGTACCTGATTGTTTTTCTGTAGCGCTCCCACACGCTGCCAGTGGGCCTCTTCCTCTTTCTTACATTGCTCCTCCAACCTTGTGGTCTAATGGAAATAAATGAAGTGAACATTTATTAAGTACACATATAATAACAAGCAATTTCTAATTTCATCCGATTCGACAAATCCAGGTTTTGAGAATTCTTAAATTGTTCTAATGCTCTTCATTCAAGAATTTTGAATTGGGTATAAACACAGTGATCAAATACTGACGTTATTTTGATCAAGTACTCTGGAATCGCTTTTAAATAGAAAATCCACGCGCTCTTGATCTATATTTTTTGTAAAACACGTTTTCTTGGAGAGCAGAATAGAAATACTTAAAATTATCAGAATTTTCTGATTTTTTTAATGGTGATACTAGGGGGCCTGAACTGAATGTTTATTTAAATTTCAGGTTGCTATGGTGTCAACTTTTTCCGTCATCTTTCTGTAAATAACCTTGAAACTATTGTGATTGCAAAGTTGTTGCGTCAAACAGACATGTTAAGGTTGGTGGTGGGATATGTCATTTTACACCACTGTTTATGGACGGATTTCAAAAATAGTTTCACGACAGTAATCAGTATGAATGTAAGTATTCCAATAATTAATTTCACATCCATACTTTTATTCTAAATTATGTTTTATCATGCCTAAATATTGAGGAATGAACTGCGCTTGCCGTCAGAAATCAATTTTTGATGACTGAACCGTTCAGTGTATAGTGTAACAGTGTTCGCGTTGACGCCGTTTTTTGCCATTTTTACGGAAATTTCAGAAGGTTGGACGTAAAAATCAAAATCAACTTACGTCCCTAGGACGCAAAAATTATAAACTGCTTCAAGATAACTTTTACTGCAGCACAGTAGCGGTGAAACATGATTTTCATCAAGATTTTCAAACTCACTACCTTGATATACGAGCAATGATCCAGGTATATTTATATCGACAAATCTGATTGGCTATCATGACTACCGAAGATTAACAGGGTTTCCAGTATGAGACATGGATTTTGATTGGTTCCGATATATTCCGGAAAATGCCGCAATCGAAATGGAAGATCAAAACATACAATATTGCAGAAATCCCCTGTGGTTCCCCACAAATTGAAACGATTGTTTTTCACGATTGTCTTTATCATTTCCACTAGAAACCATTATGATCTAATGTTATACATCAAGATAAATGTTTAATGATAGATCGAGGTTTTTCATCTAAAAGTCTTCAGAATAAGGAGAAATGTTAATAAAAAGAAGCATAAGTTCACGACTTTGACATGACCTTCAAGATCGCAGGTTTGTAAAATGTGAAAACAAAACTCTTAATTTGAGCATTTCCTTTATTCATTTCGGACTATTTTGGTATAACATTACTTAAGAATTGTGTAAAAAGGACCCAGTGATAGATATTTATCGGGAGGATGCATCAAATTACAATATATGTCATTTTTATCCCATTATAGTGTAAGCACTCTATTATCGCCCACTTTATTTTCACTTTCACAATATTTCTTGAACTTTGTGAAGAAATAAGAGGGACGCAAAAAAATTAGATGGGGACTCAAATTTTTCAAATGGGTTGCGTCCCTGGGACTCAGAAATTTTAATGGCCAGCGCGAACACTGGTGTAAACTTTAGACAGACAATTCAATAATTCAATGTGATGGATTTTTAAATAGTTTTCAGATTCATGATCAGATTAAAATGAATATTTGGAGGTTTTTTATTTTTTAATTCTAAGATCTAAGTGTACTGAGCAGTGGGTGCATAAACATTACGCATTCGGCAATGCTTTTCTCAAGTGAAATCAAACGATGCTTGCAGCAAATATTGTCCAACGTTTGTGTTTACAGTCATATTTCAAAGCTAAAGCAGAATTTTAAAAATCTAAAGAAAAATCTACATTCAAATTATATTCATTTATAAATGAAAAAATTGGTCCCAAGGTGAAAATATGACTATAAAGAAATCAAATGTCAATGTCAAATCATACATTTTATATATGTAGCAAAATGTAGCAAACTGGAAAGTACATTAAAAGCATACGACTTTTACAATCGCGCAGACGTATAAGTACAGCCGTACACGTTCTCCAAATAAATGACTCGAGCTTTCTCCATTGATGGTAGTAGTTACATTATTATTAACATAGATATACTGCATCTGGAGGCATAATTTTGTACAGTGCAATCATGATCAGCGCTCGTAGCGGTGATCAAAATTTCGTCACTTTTTGATCACTGTGAAATATCAGTCTAGAACATTTTGTAAAATATTTGAGAGGGGAAAGGTGCAAGAGTTCATTGTTCATTAAATTATGAAAGAAGTCCAAGAGAAACTAAATTAAATTGATTAAATTAGTAAATGTAACTTAAAATAGGATGCCACTTACTCGTTCCTGAGTTTGTACACTTAGATCTTTTAGGTCTTTGATCATGTTTTCAAAAGCTTCATGGAGCGCCATTGGATCAAAATCATCAGCCGTAGCTTTGGAGATACCGCCAGTTGTTCTCCATGCTAACCTTTCAACAAATTCATCTGGATCGAATGGGTCCTGCAAAAATTCAATCAGGTTAGATGAGCAGGTTGAATGGCTTCATCACCCGGAACCCATCATTAAAAAAGCAGTCCAAAACATCACATATGTATCTCAAATAAAAATTTGAATTGTAGATATACAGTGCAATATACATGAATTCTATAGCATAATATATGCTATGAGAACAAAATTTTGGTCTTCCATTAATTCAAATTCAAATGCCATCTTACTTGGTCATATTGAGTCAATTGAGGTATAAACAGGATGAAATGTCATCAACTGTTAAGGAGTTACAAAACTGTAATAATAGGTTACAGACACCAATTATGATCACACATATTCGGTTACACGAGTACAGTAAAATTCAGCTCATTTTCAACCGAAGTATTCAGAAAAAAACTTTTTTAATGATACAATGTAGATCTAACATTTGATAAATAATAAACTTCCAATTGTATTTACTGGGTTGAATAGTCTAGTCTCTCGCAACAATTATGAGATGGCAGTTATGTGGGAATCCACCTCGGTGAGATCGACAAATTAGACAAACTCTATGATGCTTCAATTAATATTATGTTCATTTTGGCACTTTAACCAATACCATGTAGCTTCTTATTGCATATCAAGATAAAGAAGGTGTATAGAATATGCTTACATCAATCAAAACATCAATGTCAAAGTGAAGTATTTGGGAACTAGCCAATGAAAATTCGAACAAACAAAGGTCGTAAGCAAGAGACTAGTCTGCTATCTCAAAAACTCTGGGGCTTTCCCTTAATCTTTATCTTTTTTAGTCCGAATAATATTCTGACTATAAGCAACCTACATGTATGTTAAGATTTGGTAATTAAAAATATTTGTTTATATAGAAAGTGCTATTCAAAATGGCCAATGGAGTAAATTAATTTGGGTATGTGTGTTACTTCATCTAGCTTTATTTCCACTAGTTCAACGTCGTTAAACTCAATAACGGCGTTCTTTATTATTAGGAATTTTCTTGGGGCCATTATTGAGTTTAACCTCCTTACTATTCTTTCCTTTGATGCAAGTTCTGAATCCATCGAAACCATTTTTCCGCGATAACGTGCAACTGATACTTGACAATAATATAAAAACACATAACATCAAGCGATTTAACACAATATTTTTGTGTTAAATGTTATACGAGTAAAATGAGGCTACACTTACCAATCTCTAAAGTGACATTCCGCATGTCCGTCATTGTGTCTGTTCGTCTGAGTGTCCCGGATCGTAAAATTAAACTACCAGCGAAACGAAATTGTTGTCAAATAGATTGATAATTATTATCGCGATTACTCGGGATAAAAAGATCAATTTTGAGGATAACAGGTATCTTTGATTAATTTATATAGCGCGTGTATACACGCAAAATAGTTATTCATTGCAAACCCACTGTTCGTTAATGCAGTGCCGTGATGACGGTTAATTCCTGAAACGATTTGCAATTTCGATGTTACCGAAACTGACCGACATTTTCGTCATTTCCAAACCTGTCTCCAATATTTTCGTAATTATGCATCAATAGGGTCTAAGGGGGATACGGGACGGGGTGTATGTGTTTATAAGGTATGTATGCATGTTTGAATCACATTCTTTGTGTAATATTGCCATGTTTTCAGGGTTTAATTTGTTCCGCTTGTCGAAACCTGCTGAACGATTAAATTAACGCATCAAAGGCAAAATGGTCTTGGAGGTTAGACCTAGCCGGGCCATAACACATGTCAGATAAGAAACGAGGCCCGGGCTAGGTCTAATGTTGTTGGACTATATTTCCACTTGACAATATGCTGTGTTACTTTTTATTGCATTTAATTATAGGGCAAAGGGGTGTAATGTCGATGTGTGGGGTAATGTCGACATACGAGATAGGGTAACTTTGACACTTACTTATTAGAAGTAGAATTTCCGTTTTCGACCATGTTTGATTTCTGGAAAAATTAAAATCTAACAAGATCTCAATCCATGCAAGAAAAAAACATGGCTTCCCCCTAGATCAGAAATTAGAGCAAATACACAACAAGGTGTCGAAGTTACCCCACATGTCGAAGTTACCCCAAAATGGTGTCGATGTTACACCCCTTCGCCCTTAGTATGTATCCAACAGACCGAATATAATATTCGGTCTGTTATGATTGATATATTTCCTGTGGAAATCGCGGTGATATTTTTTGCACATTAATTTCTCGTTTATTATAAGAATGTTCACCTTGAAAATTGGTGAATATGTTGAAGAGATGTTCATCTTAAACTAGAAGCAAAAATATTTGTATAAGGCGGGTACAAGTTGATATAAAATAATGAAATGTTCAGACTCACCGAAACTTCAGGATGTGTTCATAAGTAGATCGCGAAATTAATGTCAAGGACGTGTGAGTTCACGAGATCCAAACGAGATATGCAAATTTTGAACTTTGACAACACATGACCACTTGATTACCTCGGCCTTCTTCATGAATATTTCCGCTCTATTTACTATAAATGAAGAAAATTAATCGGGATAATGATAATAAATGACTAGATCTAATAAATTCCCGCACAAATGGAATTTAGCAATACGCTTCCGTAATGTTGCTCCCGCTCCACGTGTTATTTGTTTACAAATAGACTGACGTCACTGGCTAAATCTCGTTTATCGTGAGAATTGGCATTGCCAAAATGGCTTGACCTAATCAATGGCTTCGCTACAAGAAGCGTCTGTACATTCTATGAATATCTTCAGTAAGAGGACAATATACGAAAAAATAATATTGTGAGTTCTTTATAAGGTAATCATTCTATCATTAAACAAACTTATTTGTAACATTTATACAACACCACATTTTACAATAGGTGACTTACAGTCTGAATATTTATTCAGACGAAGGATACAGTCTACCTTCGCCCTACCTTACTACTAATTGAAGTGTTATAATGCTTATTTTTGAGAACTAATGCTTCCTCAAATTGATAATTTTGTGCAGAAATTTCACTGCAATTTCCACAGGACTGTAGTTTATCATAACAGACTGACTTCTAATCAATCTGTTGGATACATACAAGGGCTTCCCTCCTCTTGACAATGACAGATAAAATATTTATTTCCTGGTGGGCGATAATATGTTTGTTTGCACTTTTTAGGCGATTTAAAGAATGTATCTGGCAATAAATTCTCACCTGTTCAAGCTCCTGGTACGACATGATTGATATTTACTAATCTATGGAACTACTTGCTCATAAGCTATGTCCTTTCTATTCAAATATGATCATTTTTATGATTATTTTGACTTTAATTTTTGAAGATCAATAAACCGGGAACACAGAATTTGCGCAAAAATTTATTGGAGCTTTAAAATTTCAACCAATCAGAACTCCGACATCTGATCACCTGACAAAAAGTCCGCCAAATGTAGAAGCCAAAATTTAGACGCTTTGGATAAAAGTTGTTTAAAAACGAAGGAAACACCAGAAATCATGGACGTTGATGCCTTACGAAGCGCTCAACACCATTGTGAGACGTTGTAAGTATGAAAATAATGATTTACAGCTCGAGTATGTGGTGTAACTAGGCTGTTAGGTTTGTTCTTTGTCATTTATTATCTTTAGAGGCTGCATTTATAAAGGATAAGCTAAGCCCCATCCATAAGAGGTTAAGTTTTTATAGGCCTAGAATCCTACGACCCCCACTTACGTTTGTAAGTTAGGGTCGTAGGATCCGATACGTCTTAGACGACTCTTGGACACATCCGTCACACAGGTTCCTTTGATCCGTTTGGGAGCCTATAGATCTAATATTGTATTGTATTGTATTTTGTTTACCACCAATGAAGGTGAGCAATACCTCTTGGGTATGTCCCGTATATATACGGTCGTAATTTACGTAATTAACATGGAAGATAGACCCAGAAACCCCTCCTTGAAGGAGCCCTGTGTTCTTTTATGTGCACTTATACATAGACATATAAGTACACACCACAGCCTTTTTGTACGAGTTGCGGACCACTCAGTCAAACACCCTGAAGTACTTCACGCAAACAAGCAAATTTAGTCTTGCCTGAACCGGGGATCGAATCCGGGACCTATTGCGTAAGAGGTACCTGCGCTACCGCTGAGCTACACCGGTGGACTATAATCTAGTGTAACAGACAGATACTAGACCTGAAAGGGAGTATGCCCTAAATTCCATGCCGGATGTGGAAATTGAACCCAGGACCTTCCACTTTTGAGACAGACACTTTACTGGTTTGGCCAAAAAGGCAAGTTCTCTGTTTCAGGTCACTCAGTGCTTGTTACAAATTCAATTCACCCTAGGCATTGCCAACACATTTGGTCTAACTTACACAATATACCCCTGATCACAGTGAATAGAATTTCCTTCGTATTTTTATTAAAAACTAAAACTACGGAATCTTTTTGTCAAAAATATTGATATTTAAAAATGGAGATAACACCCTAGAAGATCTAGAAAAACATATTTCATACCTCAATCTTGCTATTATGGCAAGTTAATACTGCAAATATAAGCACTGCAAAATTCGTAATATGATCCGCGCTCCGCCTTCTGACCAGTCACATTGCGGGACGCATGTGTAGTTTCCATGTAGATATGAAATTCTATATGGATCTTTCCTAACCCAGGATATCAGGATATTATTACTTATTGTATTGAACTTCCAACTACCGTGCCCCTGATCATGGACCTATATATATGAAGTATTCTTCCAGTCTACTTTATATTAAGTATACAGAAAAAAGTTAAATGTTTGGAACTACATGTACTTTGAATTTAAAAAATAAGCAATCAAATTACTATATTGCAACAGTACATGAAGAAATAGAAACATATGTATAAGGCCTAACTTTTGTTTATTTCAGATACTTAGATATAATGTGCCTTTTGTAATTTTAAATCTTTTAAATCTTGAATCTTAAAAATACGCAATCAAAGGACCACATAACAACAATATACGAAATAATAGAAACATATGCACATTTAGGCCTTACTTTTGTATATTTTGGTTTTTCTTATATTTTAATGCTTTTCTGCCATGTTATTTCCCTAAAGGCCACAGCTTTGCTGCATATTATACCTAACTATCTGAAATATACAAATTTTAGGCCTTGTACATATGTTTCTATTTTTTCATATACTGTACTGTACTGTTGCAACATACTCCTTTGATTGCTTATTTTTGAGATTCAAGGTTGTTTTTGGAATTATGAATCTGAATGTAGGCAGTTCAATTATAACCGACATCCAATACTTCGACTGAATGATCTATTTTTTGATTTGATTATGAACTCAGATATGGTAAAATACATGATACTCAATATTTTCTCTGTTTCTACTTGTAGATTCCAATGCCCAGTATGTTGGCTACCCAAGTTAGAGATGGTATATGGTACATGCCAACACAGAGTATGTGTGGATTGTGTCTACCGTGCTGGCGTGCTGAGATCTGAATTCAGTAAATGCCCAACCTGTAATCAGAAATTTCCATTTCCCCTCTACAGGTAAAATTGATTTATTTGTATATATCATGTTTAAATACCAATATAGTTTCACATTTCATTGATAAATTAATTGTTTAAATAATATTACAGTAATTATGTTGTGTTATGTTCTTGGCCAATCGTGCAAGATACATATAACTTTTTTACTGTTATATTTAAGGCCTATCATACCAGTGACAACATAAAAGTACAAGATGAAAGAAATGGGCTAGCTTTTTGTGAATTCTTTTCACTGTAATCCTTGTCTATTCCACTCTTTCACACCATTTTTGTTTTCCAGGCCAATCATACCAGATGATAACATAGAAGTACAGAAGAAACTTGGGATTACACGGTGCCAAAACTCAACGAGTTGCAAGACTGAGATGTGGCTTTGGGAAATAGAAGAACACAATAAGTAGGAATCATATATCTTAGTTTTTGAATACTATTTATTTCTTTAGAGAAATCAATTATTTTTCATATAGTACCCATTACAGTCAAACTATAATAAAACTTATAATCCAAATGCCACTTGGACTTGCCAAAAGTGTTTGGTTTGGCAGTTGTTCATTTTTGATTTTTTAAACATCGAAGTCTCAAGTATGGTAAATTAAAAAAATGATGAACATATTTAGTAGAGCAATCCCCCATATTTGTGCGAAAAAACTGATTGTAAAAACAAAATTGTTACATCTAACATTTATGAGCTAAATAGCTTATTTCCTCAGGGAAATACCTGATCAGAAAGTTGTATCATGTTATTCGGTTGAGCAATCCCTATATTTCAGCAAAATAAAACCATAATAATTGTTGTTGAAATATACAATATAAAATTGTATGTATTGTGAGCTCCAATGAACATATGACCTGGGGAAACACCTCATAAAAACATTGATTTTCATAATCTGGATGAGCGACCGTCAATACTTTAGGAAAATAAAAACCTGTATTCGATTCACTAGCATATTTTAGCATCAATTTATATGCATGTACTATACATATGTATTGCCTTCAGGGAAATGCCAACTAAGAGCTTATTCAAATTATCAATCCCACGAGTTTTAGCCAACAAAAATAATTACATTCATGGGAGAAAGTCTTTAGCTGTCAACTTATTTTTGCTCCAGTTGAAACAAGTAAATTTAGCAAACCATGAAACTTGCCAGGTTGATCACTATATGGTGGATGTAGTGACCAAAGTTCTCCAGGGATGACATTGGGCTCAAAGTACATTCATTTGAGCACTGAGTGAACCAAAATAAATAAATATTGTGAATGTTTAAGGTTATTGGAGTGTTCATGTTTATTGGCATTTGCAAAAAAATATTTTATTTGTATTGTATTTTCCATTACATTGTAAAAAGCTTATATTATACTTATATTTTCAGAGTTTGCAAAAATATTTGCATTGTATTTTCCATTACATTGTAAAAAGCTTACATTATACTTATATTTTCAGAGTTTGCAAATTCAAGAAGCCGAAAAAAAGCCGCTCCGAGAGCCAAACCCAAAGTCCAGAACTCTAAACCTGAAAACAACATGCTAAAAACCCCCACAAAGGCTAAACCCAAACCTCCCGCAAGAGACTCGTATCCCTTACGTCATAATTCAAACATTTACGATCTCAGCAATGCCACATCTGAAAGCGCACAGGTTGAATTGTCTGTAACAAGTACGGTAACTACTCGAAGGAGGCGGTCTGCTAGGATTGCAATAACTCATGGACCAAATATTGTTCCAAATAGGCTACGTCAAAGATAGGCAGATGGCTATGTCAAAGATAGGCAGATGGCTATGTCAAAGATATGCAGATGGCTATGTCAAAGATAGGCAGATGGCTATGTCAAAGATATGCAAATGGCTATGTCAAAGATAGGCAGATGGCTATGTCAAAGATAGGCAGACGGCTATGTCAAAGATAGACAGATGACATGATCTTCTCAGCATTGATATTACAGGTGATACAATCATGTGATACAATCACGTGATACAATCAGGTGATACTAATGGGTGCGTTCCTGTAGGCAGTACTGCACCCACTTGAGCATTTGAAAAATAACCTGATATTTGGAGTCATAAAAATCACAACATTTGGGTGCTTTTCCAGAATTCTGAAATTAAAGTTTTCTCCCTGTTGAATGATGTCATGTTTGATGTCAGTTTTGTAGTGACAATCATGTTAAGCACTGAGTAGAAGTTGGCAGTTAGTGAAATGTTATATCCATTCATGAAAAAATCATTACGTTTAATTTAATTTTGATGCTTTAAATAATGATATACTTATGGAAGGCTGGAAAAAAATTCTCGATCATCAAGAAACACAAATATTTTTTCTCTGGCCTAAGGTGTAATTTCACATATTGTAATACTTAATTTTGTATTCCATAATTACCTGTATAATCATGTCACAACCCAGTGATGACATATTGTTATGGTCTCCAACTTTTTTGTGATATCATTCAGTTTTGGCTTTCAGCCTGTATAACAAATGGCAGTGAGTGGCATTTTGCCTGTTAGTGCCTCGTTTTATTTACCAAAGGTCAAGTTCATGTACCATATGTCATTTACCATAGGTCAACTTCATGTACCATATGTCATTTACCATAGGTCAACTTCATGTGCCATATGTCATTTACCATAGGTCAACTTCATGTGCCATATGTCATTTACCATAGGTCAACTTCATGTACCATATGTCATTTACCATAGGTCAACTTCATGTACCATATGTCATTTACCATAGGTCAACTTCATGTACCAGATGTCATTTACCATAGGTCAACTTCATGTACCATATGTCTTTAGTTATCATAGTATTCAATACTTCATATACAATTTATATTACTCTATATGATAATTTACCTTGTTTCTTTATTTTTATTTTTTTGTTTTACACTTGTTCTATCAGCATATGCTGCATCGAATTCGACTCATGCTTTCAAAAAATATGTGTTCACTATTGTTCACACAACATGTTGATTGGTGCAGTATTCATTTTTGTATTTTTTTCAAAAAGTGGAAAAAATTGTAATATTATTTTGAATTTACTTGTAAAATGTTATAAATACATCAAATTCATGCTGTGATAGGTACTAGGTTTGATTTATTTATTTGTTTAAAGTAATCACCAATTTTGATTCTTTCATTTAAACAATTTTGTTTTTGTAAAAATTTGATGAAAAAATTATGTTTTTATAATGCCAACAACATATTTAAAGTTAGTAGTAAAGTTTATGCCGTATTTGTGGAACCTTTAAAGTGTACATAGTGTGTAAAATAAAATATATATTTTGATTAAAAAGCTTTTCGTTGGTTACATTTGTTATGTGAATGTGCAATATGATCATAAAAGTATTTGTGTAAATTGTGTAGACATTGTGTGCATCAGTGCCCTAGTCTGTTATGAGCAATTGTTCAGTTTTCAACATTTGACACGCCAATAAACTAGATGCCTCTATAAGTTATTGAATGATTTGAAATGCAATACAGGATATATTCTGCTCGAGAATTCTGTATTGGAAAGAGATGAAGTCGAGTGCAAATACAGAATATTGAGAGCAGAATATATCCTGTATTGCACTTCAAATCATTCAATAACGTTTTTATCGTGTGCTCCTCTGTATTGCTACTGAGAGTGTCTCCTCCATACCAATATTTTCTGTATTGCGATGGCGATCAATGGGGACGATCTCAGTAGCAATACAGATTGGTACAGCACAAGAACTGACCAATCAGAAGGCATCATTTTACAGATCATGCGATAATATAGATTATTTCAACTTTCTCTAGTCACTCAGTGATACCATGTTTGAACTTGAAATACAAAACAAGGCATTAATCCCCTTAGAATCAAAACCCCATGGAATAAATATTTTTAAGGAATAACATCTATTATTCTCAATTTCAATATATTCAAAGTTTATATGTTATGATAGATTTACTAAAATTAGCAAATACAGTAAAACCTGTCTTAAAAGTGGAACCATGGAATTATAAAGCTGGTTCATTTGACATTAAGTCGGTTGATCTTGGGACTGAAGTGTTCTATTAACAAAGGTGTTCCACTTTCCAGGATTCACGGTATATTGTTATTATGTCACCACCAAAAGTGGTGACATATTGTTATGGTCTCCGTTTTTTTGCGACGGCGGTTGGCGTCCGGCGGTTGGAGGTTGGCGTCCGGCGGTTGGAGGTTGGCGTCTGTAACAATTTCTTACAACTTCCTATAACTTAACAAATACTGTTTAGACTGACTTCAATTTTTTTCTAAATCATCTACATGTTCTCAGAAGTTCAAATCTGACTTTAGATTTGACATTTGACCTTCAATGACCTTCTCAAGGTCAAAAAGGTCTTTTTTCAACTTGCTTCACATTGACTAGATTTTTTTTCAAAATCATCTACATGTTCTCAGAAATTCAAATCTGACTTTAGATTTGACTTTAGATTTGACATTTGACCTTCAAATCTGACTTTAGATTTGACATTTGACCTTCAATGACCTTCTCAAGGTCAAAAAAGGTCAAAAAGGTCTGTTTTCAACTTGCTTCAAATTGACTAAATTTTTTTTTCAAAATCATCTACGTGTTCTCAGAAATTCAAATCTGACTTAAGATTTGACTTAAGATTTGACATTTGACCTTCAATGACCTTCTCAAGGTCAAAAAAGGTCAAAAAGGTCTGTTTTCAACTTGCTTCAAATTGACTAAAAAAAATTTTCAAAATCATCTACGTGTTCTCAGAAATTCAAATCTGACTTTAGATTTGACTTAAGATTTGACATTTGACCTTCAATGACCTTCTCAAAGTCAAAAAAGGTCAAAAAGGTCTTTTTTCAACTTGCTTCAAAATTGACTAAATGTTTTTTTCAAAATCATCTACGTGTTCTCAGAAATTCAAATCTGACTTTAGATTTGACATTTGACCTTCAATGACCTTCTCAATGTCAAAAAAGGTCAAAAAGGTATTTTTTCATCTTGCTTCAAATTGACTAAATTTTTTTTTCAAAATCATCTACATGTTCTCAGAAATTCAAATATGACTTTAGATTTGACTTAAGATTTGACATTTGACCTTCAATGACCTTCTCAAGGTCAAAAAGGGTTTTTTTCAACTTGCTTCAAATTGACTAATTTTTTTTTTCAAAATCATCTACATGTTCTCAGAAATTCAAATCTGACTCTAGATTTGACATTTGACCTTTAATGACCTTCTCAGGGTCAAAAAAGGTCTGTTTTCAACTTGCTTCAAATTGACTAAAAAAAATGTTCAAAATCATCTACGTGTTCTCAGAAATTCAAATCCGACTTTAGATTTGACTTAAGATTTGACATTTGACCTTCAATGACCTTCTCAAGGGCAAAAAAGGTCTTTTTTTCAACTTGCTTCAAATTGACTAATTTTTTTTTTCAAAACCATCTACATGTTCTCAGAAATTCAAATCTGACTTTAGATTTGACATTTGACCTTTAATGACCTTCTCAAGGTCAAAAAAGTTCAAAAAGGTCTGTTTTCAACTTGCTTCAAATTGACCAAATTTATTTTTCAAAATCATCTACATCTTTTCAGAAGTTCAAATCTGACTTTAGATTTGACCTTTGACCTTCAATGACCTTCTCAAGGTCAAAAAGGTCTTTTTTCAACTTGCTTCAAATTGACTAATTTTTTTTTCAAAATCATCTACATGTTCTCAGAAGTTCTTCTTAAGGTCAAAAGGTATTTTCCAACTTGCTTTAAATTGACCAAATTGTTTTAGGTGGTGACATTTTGTCATGTTAATGCCTTGTATTGTATTTTGTTTACCACCAATGAAGGTGAGCAATACCTCTTGGGTATATCCTGTATATATACCGTCGTAATTTACGTAATTAACCTGGAAGATGGACCGAAAAACCCCTCCTTGAAGGAGCCCTGTGTTCTTTTATGTGCACTTATACATAGACATACAAATACACACCAAATCCTTTTGTACGAGTTGTGGACCACTCAGTCAAACACCCTGGAAGTACTTCACGCAAACAAGCAAATTTAGTTTTGCCTGAACAGGGGATTGAATCTGGGACCTATTGCGCAAGAGGTACATGCGCTACCGCTGAGCTATACGGGTGGATACAAGTCGGCCTTTAACATAGGGTATGACAGGACTCTTCCAGTTGCCATCCTTTTGAAGGGAAGTGTACATATTGCACAAAACAACAAAAAACAATTATATGCAGTCTATCCTATTTATTTTTGTTAATTGGTACTCTAATAACATTGGAAGATAATCTCTATGTGATAATACACAGTATAATTAATATAATAGAATGTTAAAATTCACAGCCTTTATTCATTGGATTCTATTCTCGATCTTCATCCTCGTTTTTTACATTCACCAGCTTCCACCATTTAAACACTCCTAATATGGTAATTTAACCATCCAATAAACCCTGTTCGCTAATAAAAAAAGAAATATTTTCCCTTTAAAAATAATTTCAATGCATGCTTATAATTCATTATGGACCTATACTGTCTCCATACAAATTAATAAATAGTTATGTTGGTTGGCCTATTATTACATCAATTGAACAATATCTTTCACACAGTAATATAATTCAACATATTATTCTATTATACCTCTTAAGGTATTACAAAATAACTAATATATACCTTGACGATGTAACAATGGGACAGTGCAAGCTTGTGTAGGCATTTAAAGTGGCGATATCTCACGAAGATGAAGATTGTGAAATAGAATCCAACGTTTTGAGTTCGTTGCAGGATATGCTTATAATTAGATATCCTTTGCGTTACAATTATATGATATACAATACGATACAATATCATACAATACAATATACAATATTTAGAGACCAAGTCAATATTTTGACTTCCTTGAACATGGCTTACATCAATAAGAAATCATGACAGCAAAGCCCCTTATAACATTAACCAATATTAAATATGTCAATCTTAAAAGTATCCAGCATTATTTTTACACAATATTTTTTAATTGATCTAACCTTTCAGACTGACGCACTACCTCTCCCCAAAATATAATAATTAAGCAGTAAGTTTTTTAAATTCAAAGACGCTTCCATTTAAAAAATCAATTGTGCTTTTTACCTCGTAATAGATTTTTATGTTCGTAGGTGTATATCAATACAATATATTGACCTTGTCTCTTAATAGACTGTACGCACAACATTAATTCTAAAAGATTGGCAATTTTTATATATAAAGCACTTGGTTCTATTTACATCATTGTCAATTTTAGATTTTCAACATTATCATGTGTCATATTAATAACTGAATGCCGGGGACTGTTTCTCATTTCTCAAAAACATCATGAACTGTGATGCAATAAATTATATTATTCCATAGTTAGCATGATATTCATAGGATAACATGTGGAAATAAAAACGGTATTTTTGTAATCAGTGGTAAAATATGATATTTTTGACAAATTTTCACTTAACCATAGCATACGGTTTTTTAGCCATGACATACGACGTCGTATGCGATGGTTTATGGATTTTTGCTACTTCAGACTCAAAACGAGGCTTAGTGTCAACATCGCCGGATCGTTTGGAAAATTCGAAATATATCACTTAATTTCCGACGATTCTGATGATGACTTTAACGATGGAATAAAAAGAACATCCTATGATTTACTCGTGATATGATTTTAATCCACTCATGGATATTGATATCTGCACTCTCTCGCTACGCTCGCTCGTGCAGATATCATATCCATTCGTGGATAAAAATCATATCACTCATAAATCATAGGATATCCTCTATATATTGCAACATTTTCATCATGAGACACTGATATATTTTGGAAACAGGGGTAGATTTACTATTTTTGCAGTGTCTTGCTGCAGATGTTCTATAAGGAACACACTATGTATATCATGAACAATTAAACTATTTCTATCATTAACATGGACTACATGTAACTATTTTTTACCCTAAAAACCGGGGGTAAGTTTCTAAATAATCCTTAAATCACTAAATCTATAGTACAGACAGTAGTAGATTGGATATACATAAGATGTACAACACATTCTCATATAAAGAATTTTTCAGAAATGCACCCCTGACAGAATCATAAAATTGTGAAGTGACTAATTATCATGTATTATGCTATAATTATTGCTTGCTGATTCTATCTGTCTATATAAGCATTTAAAACTATTCATATAATTGACAATCATGAACTTCATATCATTGAAAATCATGAACATCATGTTGTTCAAGGAATAAATTATTCTCCAAATAAAGCTCCAGATCCGAAAGTGAAGTTTATTGATTTCAATTAAATAATCGCTCTTATGTGTGTGAGTCAAAACCAAGTCTTTACTACCAAATGTGCCAATGCATTACATTATTAGTTATAGGTTATATAATGAAATTTCAAGATAATAGTGATGCTCAACTCAAAATTTGAATTTTGTTAAATTCAGGTAAAAATATCAGCAGAAAGCCAGCTTACTTGAACAGATTTGAACCAATTTGAAAAACTCACATGGTAACAGTAACACAATGTGAGCATATTTTAGCAAACATTAAAACATTTGTGTAATATTGGGTATTTGGTATAAATAATAAATAAAGGATTCAATGGTAGTTTCCGCGTCCTAATTAAAATTGTATTCTGCCATGATTACAATGGTAACGCAAGCAGCTTATGGTGTAATAACTGATAAGTGGGAGGATGATATCCATAAAGTGGCTCAACTTGGGGATTTCATCACATTAGGAAGTTAGGAATACTGTTAAAAGGAACATTCATAAAAATATTAATAAATCTAACAAAAATAACAAATAAGTTACAATTTAACTTAACGAGACAATAAATGCTACTCAATATACTACAGTGTACTGTTGTATAAAGTACTACAAAAATAAAAAAAAATCTAAAAAATATTAATAGCATTAAAGTATAACAATTAATTGACAAAAACAGTTTTCTTCTATTTACAACCTTTATTAATCAAAATCACAGAATGTTTTGTGATTTCAAATAATAAAGGTTGTGAAAAGAAAAACTATTTTTGTGATTTACAACCAACCCAAAGAACATGTTTAAGAACAATTGACTGGGCTTAATAATTTAAACCCTTTTTATGGATCCTGATATTTCACATTATAACATATAAGTCAACCAGTTTCTGAGTTGTTTACTCTTGATAAACCACTGCTAGCTTCAGAGGGCTTGACCTAGTCACATAATCTTACCAGACGCTTTTTGATATTTGATCAAATGAATACCTACTTAAAACTTTTAGATTTTGAATTTTAGTTGATATGAAAAAGTCAAAACTAAAATAAAACAGGAATAGACGACTGTTAATAACTATTTTCAAACCAAAATCTAAAATTAGTGTTTACATACATATAGTGTTTTCACTAAACAAACCCCTATTTGTTGTCACTCTAGCACCATTCCGAAGACACATTGCGAAAATAAGCCATCTCAGAAAGAGAAATTCATCCAATATTTGTTTTACAGTGGGGTCGAGGATACGATAAATATAAATGTGCGTAAGATTTCTGATTTTCAATATTTTGAGGACTTGAATGTAGTTTTGAGAAAAAATTAATCTAATTTTAGATATTCATAAAATAGAGTATTTCAACTGAAGGTCAAACAATATGAATTATATCATAATTTCAATTAAAAAATAATAATTACACTTTTACAGACTTAATTTAAGCTGTAATGTCCTAAAGTTTTGGCACAATTTTACTCCCTAGTCAAGGCATAAGGACCTCTTTCACATCTTCGGGGATTTTGGAAAGATAGTGCGTGTGGGCTTCAACAGATGGCGTTGCTAGTACACCTGCGTTGTTTCTACGTTCAACTTGTGGGTGGTATTGTAAGGTATTGCCATGGATATCAGAGAGTTTACCGCCCACTGCGTGGAGAACGGCCTCTGGGGCACAGGTGTCCCATTTCTTACATCCTGGACTAGCGAACACGTAACCATGGGCCTTGCCCTCTAAGACAAGTAAAACCTGGAATGAAGATGAAAAACTGCATACTCCATCACAATTACGATAAATGTACTTCAGTTTCTAATCTGGCTCTAATTATAAAAACCTCACTTTGGTGGAAAAGTTACACCTTATTTTGATATAAATGACATTTCAAAGGAATTGCGCATTTTAAAAGCATTTTTATAACACTGTATCCAATATCACAAAGGCAGTTTAAATCCATGTTGAATCCTTGAATCATAATGTTTTCAAGAATCTCATCCATGATTTTTCTTTGTTTTGGATATTTTGAAAAAAACTATGGTGGAAATTGGACGCTCCTAAGAAATTTGATCCCTCAATGACATTTTGCTAAGGGCCGATTTTTAGTATTTACTTTGAAAGTTGAGTTAAAATACCTTATGTCCCGCGCCACCCACTCTAAGCACTTCAGATGGCTCGCACGCTTCAACGGCATTCACAACTGCACGGTTAGAATGTGAACGAGTGGTGGTAATAATGTTTTGTCCCTCTGGGGCTTTAGCTGCATCATAGCCAAATGATCCTAAAAAACAAACAAGAAGTTCCAATTAGATTGATCCCTTTGTTAAACTTGCAATAAGACTGGAAACGAGTTGAGTTTAACATTCTAAAAAATTGTTACGATTATACATAGTATTCCATGTCAAGCAAACAGCCCTTTTCAATAAATTGAAATGAATTGGTCATCGCTTAATCTTACATCTTACAAATAAAAGCAAGTTTTCTCATTAAAGTGTGCGCCAAAGTTTAAAACTGCGCAGGCGCAGCGCTCTCGCTAATCTATATAAAGAGATTATAAGGTACAGGCTTCAGAGGTAAGTCAGGAAGGTGAACAATCTTCGTCACATGTTGATTTCCCATATAATCGTAAACAGGCAAGTTTCACCATTGAAATTGAAAATTACTATTAGATATACTCTGTAGATGTTATTAATGAGCTATTAAGTGTATGCATCAATCTAATGGCTCATTTTGAACATATAAAAAGTATTTGTGTTTTGTTTCCCAGGGAATTGTATTCCCATGTACTACACACATAAATAGTGTACATTATGTAGTACTAGCCTGGTTTATATAATATTGAAGGGCATGCTGACTGTACACACGAGTACATGCATGAAGGCCTAACATTGATATTGCTTGCATACCTAAATAAAAATAAACTCTTCTAATACCCTAATGTAAACACCGCGGTATACGTAGTCCGATTTATCGGAGACTTTAAAGAATAATAAAGACTACAGCTCAATAAAATCATACATAACACAGGTATAATGATAGATGTAAGAATCTTATTTGAGAGATGAGACCATTGGTTAAATTTTAAAAGGGAAAGTTGTGAAAATTGTATGGGAGAGATTAGACCATTGGTTAAATTCTAAAAGGGAAAGTTGTGAAAATTGTATGGGAGAGATTAGACCATTGGTTAAATTCAAAAAGGGAAAGTTGTGAAAATTGTATGGGAGAGATTAGACCATTGGTTAAATTCAAAAAGGGAAAGTTGTGAAAATTGTATGGGAGAGATTAGACCATTGGTTAAATTCTAAAAGGGAAAGTTGTGAAAATTGTATGGGAGAGATTAGACCATTGGTTAAATTCTAAAAGGGAAAGTTGTGAAAATTGTATGGGAGAGATTAGACCATTGGTTAAATTCAAAAAGGTAAAGTTGTGAAAATTGTATGGGAGAGATTAGACCATTGGTTAAATTCTAAAAGGGAAAGTTGTGAAAATTGTATGGGAGAGATTAGACCATTGGTTAAATTCAAAAAGGGAAAGTTGTGAAAATTGTATGGGAGAGATTAGACCATTGGTTAAATTCAAAAAGGGAAAGTTGTGAAAATTGTATGGGAGAGATTAGACCATTGGTTAAATTCTAAAAGGGAAAGTTGTGAAAATTGTATGGGAGAGATTAGACCATTGGTTAAATTCAAAAAGGGAAAGTTGTGAAAATTGTATGGGAGAGATTAGACCATTGGTTAAATTCAAAAAGGGAAAGTTGTGAAAATTGTATGGGAGAGATTAGACCATTGGTTAAATTCTAAAAGGGAAAGTTGTGAAAATTGTATGGGAGAGATTAGACCATTGGTTAAATTCTAAAGTACCTATTCCTACAATCCCCCAAATTGCTCTCCCTAGTTTGGCATCTGGTCCTGCCTTGTAGTTATAGTATGGCTGATAGATGACGCCACCGACTGCTGTCCCTTTTACAGCGACACCTATTAACACTGTAACATGGTCTAGTAAACCTTGCGTATATTCTGCTGTTCCATCTAGTGGATCCACCCAAATGCATATCTATAAAACATTTGAATTCAAAAAGTTAGATAGAATTAATAAGAATATTACGTCATCAGTTATTAAATAATCATTCCTGGATTAGATAAACTGTAACATTGGCTAATTTTGTGACTACTTTTTCTTTATTTTGGTAAATTTGTTGATTAATTGAAATATTTGCCTGAATTTACAAAATTTAAGTACCGAGAACATTATTATAAAAATACGATCTGATTTTCAAAAAATGAAATCGAGCGCTCATCAACTTGAATAACTGCTAAATGTTTAAAATTACATTTGCCAAAGTAATTAGTGCCAAAAACAGAGTTACAGTAATATTGTTTTGGCAAAATTGAGCAAAAATGCTCTGATTTTCAAGAGTTTAAAATTTGAAACTTTCAAATGCTCTCATTTCATAAAACTTTAATTAAGGATTTGACCACTGAGATTAAATATTCTGCAATGAAATTAAAATATGAAAAAAAGAATTCAACAAAACCCTAGTTCCACAAACTCATAAGTTCAAAAACGACACTGCTTCTCCCCCTCTCCCCCCATTCTGTTCTTATAAATCCATCTTCTTGCTATAAAGAGCATAAAGAAGCATTTGTAAATAAATAAATAAATTTGTAAAAAAAATAAATTTGTAAATCTACTACACAGTGGGATCCGAAGCCTGTACCATCCCTATAGTGTGTGCCAAATTGCTTTCTAAGTGGCTTAGTTAGGCTAAACCTATGTTGTGGTAGCTTACTATGAATTGACCCATAGTCATTTTAGACTGATCTATTATCTATTCATTTTTACTTGTCTGCAGTCAAAATAGTGACACGAAAGGGCTAAACGGCTTGCACCAAGGTGCGACCGTCAAAAAGATGAGTTTGAAAAATATACATTTTTTTAAATAATACTTGTAAGTATACAAAATAAGATGCAAATTTGATATTGATGTGTAATGACAGTCCATTCGGGTGTGGTAATTTTATGAAAAACAATTATGGTAAAAAATTTGATATTTATGACCTTAAAATGCGTTTTCAATTAAAAAGTTACTGTTGTCAAGGATATTATTCCTATTTTATATAGTCAGTGTTTTTTAAATATACCAATAACCATTTCATCAGTTTTTGACAAAGTAAATAATTATAGGGCTCACACAAGGATCAACTTTGTTCATAGCATTTTCATATTAAGTGATTTTGAAAAAATACGAAGGTAAACTCAATTTTATTTTTTATTTGTTGAAGAAAAAACAATTATATGTTTGTTTTCTTGTTTCGACTGAAAAATCTCAATTCATCGCCCTTGCTTCGCAAGCAGGAGAGTCTACACCAGTATGAAAAAGTCTTCAAAAAGTTGATCCTTGTGTGAGCCCTACAATTATTTACTTTGTCAAAAACTTATATAATGGTTTTTCGGATATATAAAAATCATTTAATAGGTAAAATAGGAATAGAATCATTGACTTTTGATTTTGAATAAAAAAGGATTACGAGCATATAGTGCATCACTTAGTTTATAGCTTGCAGACAGTGATCTAAGAGACATCATCTTGTAGTAATGGGTGTGACAGTGATGAGACGGGAATTGATTTTATAAATGCAAGTTTTGACAATCCTAGTATTGATTGTTTAATATTACGGACGTCATATTAAAAGATACCAATTTGCATTACATCAACATCAAAGAAGTTTGATTTGTTCACAGATACGTGTCAGAGTGATACCTGTAGCAGTTGCACTAGATTGATATACAACAAGATATGTGTGAGCATTCATTGCAACATTTACTTAAGAGTTATAATTTTACTAAATCTTTTGGTTTATTCAATTTGAATATTACTTTTGCAATAAAGATACCTTAGTTTTGAAACATTAGCAACAATTTAATTTCAAAAAGATCAGTTTTCAACTTCGTATATGTTTTGTTCATAAAATGTGTACTATTCAACATAGGTCAAAAGTCAGGGTAATTTCAAGTTTAAAATATCAATATCTAGTATAGTTGGCATTTTAAGGCATTTTGCCGATGGTGTGACCCTTCACAACCGATGATTATGTGACCTGAGGTTAAGATCAACTGAATGGGTGTAGGTAATTTCAAGGTCATTATCTAGCAATTTGGTGTTTTAAGGCAATTGAGAACAATTCTGACCCTTGACAACCGATTATTAGGTGACCTGTTGTCAGGGTCAAGGTCTGTAGGTCAAGATCATTTCAAGGTCATCAATATCTAAATATTTGGCGTTTTTGGGCTGAGGTTAGCCTTTGTGAATCATGAATGTGTGACCTGAGGTCAAGGTTATTTCAAGGTCAAATATCAGTATCTAAGTATTTGGTGTATTAAGGCCCTGGTATCTGCTGTGGCCCCTAGCGACTCATGATAGGGTGACTTCCAAGGTCAATATCTAGCAATTTGGAGTTTAAAGGCAAATGAGAACAATTGTGACCTTTGGCGACCAATGATTAGGTGACCTGGTGTCAAGGTCATGTCAAGGTCAAGATCTAGGTAGTTGGCAAATGTGGGGCTACAGTCCTATTAAATGAATGACCAATGATAAAGTGACCAGAGATCTATAAGTCAATGTTTATGGATCAAGATCATTTCAAGGTCATAGCTCAATATCTGATTAGTATTTGGCGTTTTGGGGCTGAACGTGTTTTTGTGAAAACAATATGATTTTTCTTATGTAAAGTCCCTGTGATAAAAATGATATCATCCAACTTCTTCACTTGAAAAGAAAAAACATCATGAATATCCCTCAACCTTTATTTTTCAACTTATTTTTTATGATTTCATTCTGGTTTGATTCCTTGACAACTTAATGATACACTACATGATTTTACTACTATATGTACGGGTATAAGCATCAAATGTGGTGCCACCTGTTATTAATAACATTCGTAAACATAATGCTTGAATGTATCAATAAATTGAAATTGAAAATATAAATATTTGAAAATATATCTGAAATATTATTGATAAGATCCCCACCTTGTCACATTTTGAAAAATATTAGGCTTATTTTCTAAAGTATTTTTTCTTAATTCGAATATATCAAAAGTTCTTCTATGCGAATAAATCAAAAATTCTGAAAAGGGGATGGGTATTGAAATGCGATAAAGTTAAAAACCACAAATTCCATGTTATTTTCCATTGGAAAAACTCAAACTATCCATTGTTTTCAACATAATTTTGATATCTCCAAAACTAGACTTTCATTACAATTCTACTAATGAAAAAGTTTTAGACCACTTGTTGAATAATATTTTTCATGCAATTCAAATAAAAAAGAAGAACCTCTGTTGAGTAAATAATTTCAAAAAAATGTTAAGATGGGTTCCCCATTCATAGTTTTTTAGATTGTTTGAATGATATTTTTATAATCATTGAGAATTGAATTTTCTTGAAAGATAACATATTGCGTTTTTGAGAAATGTCATATTTATATTGAGAAAGTAGTCATGGTAAAATATATGATGATCGGATATCACTTGCCATACTATACCTGGTCCTTTGCCAATTTGAAGTGAATTGTAAAATCATATCAGAAGAGAGGACATCCAAATATAAGGTCATTTTATGACTGCAATCAGTAATCAACAGCCATGAGAGATACTTTCTCTAGTAATTCTGAATTGGATCAGTATTGTATTGTATTGTATTGTATTGTATTGTATTGTATTGTATTGTATAATATGACCATTTAATTCACACTAGTTTCTTCATATGCCTGGACTAAAAAATCCCGAATCTGTTTGGGTGAAATAACCAAATGTGACCAATAATATGAGTATATTTGAGTATTGTCTCTTCACTTTCCAGTCAAAAATGTAAGATTTAAAAATATGATTACAAATAATTGCAGTAAAACATGCAAAATATAATGCACATTGGTTATTGAAATGTAAAGATAGTCCATGAGGGTATGGTTATATTATTAAAAACAATTATGGTAAAAATTGGGTATTTCTAACCATATAATGCTTTTTATTCCAAGTTCAATGACATTCTTCCAATTTTACCTTTGAAATGATTTTCATACCGACGAATAACCGTTATATCAGTTTCTGGTAAAGTAAATAAGTGTAGGGCTTTCACAAGGATCAACGTTTTTTAAAGACTGTTTATGTACTTGTATATCCCCTGCCGTTCTAAGAGGAAGAGCAATGAATTCCGATTTTTCAGTCAAAACAATGAAATAAACACACTCTGTTTATTTTGTTAAACATTTAACAAATAAAATTGTGTTTAACCTTATATTTTTTCAAAACATCACTAAATATGAAAATATTGCAAATAAAGTTGATCCTTGTGTGAGCCCTATATTTATTTACTTTGCCCAAAATGAATATAATGGTAATTAAAATATTTTGAAAACATTGAATAGGTGAAATAGGAATATTATCATTAACAACCATGACTTTTGAATTAAGATGTTAATTTTAGGTCAGAAATTTATAATTCTTCACAATTATTGTTTTTTATAAAAATGGCCACACGCAAATGGACTATCATACTTATCAATATCAAATTTGCCCCCTATATTGTATACCCATTTCTATTATTTGAAAAAATAATTTTTTATCAAACTCATATTTTTGATGGTTGCACCTGGGTGCAAGCCGTTTAGCCCTTTCGTGTCACCTTTTTGAGTGCAGACAAGTAAAAATGAATAGTTGATGGACCAATCTATAATGATAATGGGTCACTTCATAGTAAGCTACCACAACATAGGTTTTTGTGATTTTCTGGAGTTTTGGCACACACTACTAGGAATACACAAGCATTAAATAAATAGGGAGTCTGATAAATCAGAATGTATCTACCCACATTCTGACGAACCCATTAAGACTATTCAGACCAGACATAATAATCAATACACAAAGCATAAAAGTATCTTAAAGCCAGAAAGCAACAGAATTGCTCATTGAATACAGAAACATGTGTATTAACAAATCAATACTTGTTCCGTGTTCCGTGTAATTAAAAGATGCTCAAATGTGACCGTGGTTAAAAAAATGTTATTGAACCTTCAAAGCTTATCATGTCTAAGTAACTCTTACTGAGCCTCTGCTCCTATTATAAGGTGATGACCCACTCAAATATGTTTCATTTATCCTAATCTCATCATGCAATATGATTACAATTTGTTGAGAATTATGCAGCATCAAAGATATATCAAAAAACTGTAGAGAGTTATATCTTAGTGCAATTCAAGCTTTTATCCCATACTTGGACGTGTTACAGGTTTATTTTCATCAGCGGGCAGATATAGCTTTAAGTCCCGCTTCGAGCGGATGTTCTCATATTGGTTCATTTTTTATAATGTTCACATAATTACTGTTAACGACAATGGAGAAAAACGCAGACAATCACGATCTGTTAATGGTTTAAAGAAGGGAAGGAGCATATGTATCCCTGTTAATGAATATCTAAAAGAACAAAAATATCTGTCCACGGCCAAGAAAACAAAACTGGTCATGATCATTCTAAAATAATTCCACGGTTGGTTGGGAATTTTCTGAACTGTGGCCACACATTTTCATATATACTTTAATGACCAATGTGAACCAGATCACCAAGATTGGTATGGGATAAACAGATCATCCTATAGTCGGTTCATGATATTGGAATTATCCCTTGGATAATATAGGATAATCTCTACATATTGACAAACTGTAATTATCTCAACTTAAACTTATAATCAAAAGCCAATGGTTGCCAGGGCAACAGAGGCTGATTTCCTAATAAATAAAGGCACAGGAAACTCTGGGGAATCTATCTCATTAACTTCAGGATAGTGACAAATAGCAAGGAAATTCCAAAATTATATGACCAAAGCAAAGTGTACATTGATTTCATTAAGGCCCTTAAAAATAGATTTCTGTTTAGCAATGCCTAGCTGGCATCCAAAACCTCTCTGGTCAACAAGCTCATCATGACAAACCAGGATATCTCAATTAATTCTTCTTTGAGCCATGTTTCTATAGAAATAGAAAGATGTGATCATTATCAGAATGGGTCAAGCCCTTTTCTTTCAATTTCTTGGGATCAAAACACAAATAAAATTAAAAGTCTGATCACTTGGTCATTAAAGTATATATGAAAATGTGTGTTTTTAGATTAAGATTAGGCCAATTCTTGAAAATCAAAGTTTCCATAAAAACAACAAGGCATTAACATGCAAAATGTCACAGGCACCACCTGCCATGGTTACTAATGGCAAATGCCAACCACTAACTGCCAAACACCAACCACAAAAAAGTTGGAGACCACAACAACATGTCACCTATTGTTACCACTTGTGGTGGTGACACAATAAGTAGAGAGTCAGCAATGCCAAGATTTTAGTGGATTATCACAAAAAAATAAAAAATTTACTAAACAGAAAATTAACATGTATGGGCCTTCACTAGATTTGACTATCACTGCCACATACAATAGCATGAGCTGGCACTGATTGAATCAATGAAAGTAAACCAAAAAGTTGGCTGTAACATATTGATTTAGCACCAAGTCCTTGCTTGTTTTTATGACAAAGTCATATCAAAGAGATAATGCCTGCCACGTCCATAAATGATGTACAGAACTTGATTTCTGGCTCAGTTCAGTCAACATTTAAATCATAATTTATAGAGAAGGTCAACATGTAAAATTATTGACCTATGCAGAGGTCGAATGTCAAACAATATCCTGATACTAGTAATGTAAACTGACGAAACTGATTGCTGTGTCCCATTCGATTCAATTCGGGGTACAAATTCTGAGAGTTCCTTATTATATACAGGAAAACCTCGTCAAATCAAAATGTCACTTGGATCAGCAAAACTGATCAAATTGACGGGTCTTCACATTTCGGGTTTTTCATATATATGTAGTTGTATATGGCAGATTAAAAATGGGACCAAAATAGCATTAATATTAAGAGGTGTTTAGATTAGAGAGGTTTTAATGTACAGTTTACATCTTACAACTTCATCTTTTATACCTCAGAGATTTTCAGTCAACAATCTCACATCACAATCTTTTAAAGTAAAACTTATTGCCATCATATCAGATTCAGTTTGAGCTACAAATGCTTAAAGTACAGTGCGTAGATGAACAGTATATTAAAGATATTCTTACGTCTTCATCTTTTACAGCTTTCAGATTTTCTGGACACTTTGCCTGGAGCACCTCCTCTGTGGAGCTAGTCTCAATCCACTCCTTAGGGACAGATCCTGTAGTGCTAGGGTCCAAATCCTGAAAAACATAGAGGATAAAACTCATAGAATATAGTATTTTGGCGAGCCTCTTAAATTGGCGAATTTAGGCGAATTAAAAGATTTGCCAAATTAAATAGTCGCTGGGTATATGTTCATCAAGAACACTGACAATGAGTATTGTGAATTTGGTTGGACGAGAGATTGTCTGGGACACTTGCAAAACCGCCAATTTAAATAGACGCCAATAGGGCCAAAAACAAAAAATTGCCAAATTAAGTAGCGCCAAATTAAAGACAAATACAGTATGTATAAACATGGAGGATAGAATTATTTAGAGCAGATAGCAGTAAACATTGGGAACAGCAATGAAATATATCATAACTATATAACCATTTGTTTTGGTGTAGCTATCATGATTGTAGAGATTTTTACCAAGACAGACAAAGATTAGGAAATATACTTCTTGGTCTTCAGAGTTCTGCAATTACATTTTAGCAAAGGTAGAATCAAATCTAGCAAAAACTGTTTCGAAAAATATTTCAAACTTATAATATGTTGCTACATATCATGTCTTGTATTTTCTCCAAAGTTCATTTTTTCAGGAAAACATAAGGTTTGTGCATTTATGTTGTTGTTAACCTATAAATATGCATATTTTTATTAATAGATTTATCATTTGGAGGAATTTACAAATATCATCACTTTAAATATTTATTGCCAATATTCTCATTCACAAATAATAGGGGTGGATTATTAGATTAGTTTCAATGCCTTTTATAGCAAACTTAATCTTTTCCTGATCAGTGTATAGAACCCTTGAATAAAGTTAATGTGGTGCAGTTATTAAATATTTGAAAATAACAATAGACACATTACAAATAAATTAATTTAGTTATAAAATGAAATAGTTTGACTCTTTCAAATGTAGAAAATATTTTAAAGAAAATGTTATATCTTTAATTCCAAAGTAGAGCAATCATATTGTTATACTATTGGTCAAAATGTCATTTAAAATCCAATTGTCAAAACTATTAAATGTACACTAAAACACAATAGAAGATTAAAGACTGAAGCTCTACTGTAAATCTGGTATGTTTGAATTTATACATATTTCTAATTTATTTTGTTTCTTATTTCATTATCTTTATTATTTTATTTATTATTTATTTTTTGGCACATACATATCTAATTGTTAGATATCATATGTATGGTCATGTTAATCCCAGTTACATTGAAAAATAAAAATAAGTTGTGAAAATTGTACTTTAACAAATAAGAGGTTTACAGTATGTGACCCTAACAACCTTGTATTCGTCAGTCAGCACTAGTTTTAGCTGATGTGAAATATGAGATATTTAACTTTTTTGAAAAAAACACCATGAGGATGAAACCATTAGGACCCTCTGATAGAAGTTTGATGACACAAAAAATAGTGAAAACACCATGAAGAAGGAAGAGCAGAGTACAGTGAACATTAACAAATAAACTAAACTAAATAAAACTTTTGTAATATTGACTATATTCCATCTTAGATATTCTCTATAGTAGAATGGTAGTGGAATATTAAAACTCAAGAACACAAATGACTCTACCATGACTTCAGTGTTAGATGTATCATTTAATGATAGATCTTTACTGACAACAACACAGTCAGCCCCAGAGACTAGGAACTTCATCCAACATGCGAATAAGGTAAGGTAACTACAATAAAAATACATATAAATCGCAGAAAGAAATCCCAATTTTTTAGTGCTTACCCTGATTTTCAAAAATCTTGATTTTCCTATAAACACTCGATTTTTCCTAAAATCCCTACATTTTTTATTAAAAACTCCAATTTTTCAACGATACCCCCAGATTTTTCATAAAAAACTCCTAGGCGATTGGGGTCGTAACCACGAGGTTGCGAGTTCGAGACGCGTGTGCTCCTTGCGCTTATTCATTCCTGATTTATATAATCATTTTCTTTAAAAATTAGTTTGTGAATTTTCTCTTGCTTTTTAGATACCCAAATTTTCCAGCAAAAGAGCCTCATTTTCACCCCAATTCTTATCAAACAAACCCGATTTAAAAAACGAAATATCCTGATTTATTTTTTCCACTTGATATGTATGAAATCCATATATTTTCTGATTTCAGCTAAGTGACAAAAAACTGAAAACATGGGAAAAGGCAGAAATCAAGATAAATACAATGGAATCAACATTTCACAAGCCTCATGCCAAAATGAAAACAAATGCAATAAACTGGACAAAAAAATCAAAAATTGGTTCATTTGACAAAATAGCCCATGTACCAGGCGGGGGAAACGTCACAATACCAACAAATCCTTTAAAGTGGCGTCAACAATCTAAAGTTGGATCATTCGACAATATTCATCATAAACCTAAAGGAGGTGATGTCATTATTGAAACTAACCCTTTAAAATGGAACAAAACATCAAAAGTTGGATCACTTGATAACAAACAACAGAAAGCACTTAAGGAGCAAATAAAACCAGACAATGTTGAAAGTATCTCCAACCCAGTTGAGGAAGAGAGACCTAAACCTGAATCATTGAATACATCAAGCTATGAAGATCCCAGCGGCTATAGTGCAATATTCCATGAGGCTAAACGTCACAGACACGTCAAACGTAATCACAAGAAATTATCACTGGAGAGATGGAAACCTTTGCCAGCTATTGCATCCAAACCAAAAGTAGATAGTAACAATACAGATGAAAACAATGGTAATAAAACAATTAATTTTAAATTTGAAAGGGAGATGGAAAAACAAAAACGTATCGATGTTAGTGGAATAGTTCTAAAGGATCTTCACTCTGATACAAACAATCTTCACACTGATGCAAATGATCTTCAAAATGACATAAATGATCTTCAAAATGATACAAATGATCTTCATGATAATACAAAAGATCTTCAAAATGACATAAAAGATCTGCATAATGATACAAATGATATTCAAAATGATACAAAAGATCTTCAAAATGCCATAAAAGATCTGTATAATGATACAAATGGTCTTCAAAATGATACAAATGATCTTCATAATGATACAAATGATCTTCAAAATGATACAAAAGATCTTCATAATGATACAAATGATCTTCATAATGATACAAATGATCTTCAAAATGATACAAAAGATCTTCAAAATGATACAAATGATCTTCATAATGATACAAATGATCTTCATAATGATACAAATGATCTTCAAAATGATACAAAAGATCTTCATAATGATACAAAAGATCTTCATAATGACATAAAAGATCTTCAGAATGACACAAATGATCTTCAAAATGATTTAAAAGATCTTCACACTGACACAAAGGATCTTCACAATAACAGTAAAGATTCTTGCAATGATACAAAGGATCTTCGCAATGACACAAAGGATCTTCGAAATGACAAAAAAGATCTTCATAATGATACAAAAGATCTATATAATAATACAAATGACACAAAAGATCTTCATTATGATAACTTAAAAAATCTTCAAAATGATTTAAAAGATCTTCACACTGACTTAAATGATCTTCAAAATGATACTCAAGATCTTCATAATGACACAAAAGATTACCATAATGAGATGAAACATCTTCACAATGATACAAATGATCTTCATAATGATACAAAAGATCTTCAGAAAGACACAAAAGATGAAATAAAAGATCTTCATAATGATACAAATGATCTTCAAAATGATACAAATAATCTTCATAGTGATACAAATGATCTTCAAAATGATACAAATAATCTTCATAATGATACATACGATCTTCATCATGAAAGAAATGATCTTCAGAAACACACAAATGATCTTCAAAATGATAAAAAAGATCTTCAAAATGATACAAATGATCTTCATAATGATACAAATGATCTTAAAAATGATACAAAAGATCTTCAAAATGATACAAATGATCTTCATAATGATACAAATGATCTTCATAATGATACAAATGATCTTCATAATGATACAAATGATCTTCATAATGATACAAATGATCTTCATAATGATACAAACGATCTTCATAATGATACAAATGATCTTCAAAATGATACAAATAATCTTCATAATGATACAAACGATCTTCATTATGAAAGAAATGATCTTCAGAAACACACAAATGATCTTCAAAATGATACAAATGATCTTCATAATGATACAAAGGATCTTCATAATGATAAAACCCAGGAATATAAAAGTGCAGCTACAGACAATGCAAAATATCACAATGGTACAATTCATCACAATGGTAATAACACAGATTCCCAAAACTACATCAAAACTGCTGAAAATGAAGATATTGCTACGTTTAAAACTGAAGTGAAATTCTTACAAGGAGAATCATCCCTAAAATTTAAAATGGAAGATGATGAAAATGTATCTACAGATAATACAAAATATCTCAATGATACAGCAAATGGGAATTCTAGCAAAAATAACAAATCTGCTAAAAGTAATCCTAACCAAGATATTGGTACATTTAAAACTGAAGTGAAATTCTTACAAGGGGAATCATCCCTTAAAAGCATCACTCAAACTTGTACAAATTCTCCTGGCCCTATAGATTTTGATAAAGATACAGAGAAAAATCTAAATGATAAGATACGTGAAATGGCACGGAAAGATCCATTAGCTTCATATGCTCCACCTACATATGCAAATATGTATAAAACAAACAAGAGGATACAAGAAAAGTTAAAAACTTATAGATCAAGAATTCCACAATTGCTGGAGCTTCAAATGAAGGAGAAAACGCATCTGCCACCTCAAACAATAAACACTCAGAATGTGCGTAAACCTGGGTCATATGAACAGAGAATCAAATACCAAAAATCACTGAAACTGAGATCTGATCCAAACCATCTGATCAAACATTCAAACATTCTAATACAAACTCAAAACAATATGACTGGCCATCCAACTGTGAATTATCAAAACCCTACATCAGATAATCTTCAAGATAACACGGATAATCATGATGATAGCCCAGTTCACGATAAAGACAATGCAGATAATCTTCAAGATAAAGCAGATAATAACCCAGTTCATGATAAAGACAATGCAGATGATCTTCAAGATAATGCAGATAATGATGATAATAACCCAGTTCATGAAAAAGACAATGCAGATAATCTTCAAGATAACGCAGATAATATTGATAATAACCCAGTTCATGATAAAAACAACATAGATGATCACAAAAAAAACACGGACAACCATAACTATAATGCAGATAGTTCTAAATCAGATGAGATTTCAAGAGTGGAAAATGATTATGCGGAAAGAATGGATCATCAATTCGTTTTAAAATTTAGAGATATGTTAAAGGACTATTTAGGAGCTGTGAATCAAGTCATTCACTCTGCTGAAGACATTGCTGCTGCTAATGATGAACAGTCAAACAAGGGAAAACAAATGAGTGACGAAAATGGAACAGGACATGAAGAAATACATGACTTGAAGATGTTCTGAATGAAAAAAACAAAAGTCAATGTTGAAGGTGTAAATGTACATGATCTATACATGTACCAGGTTGATCAATAAGTTCTGAGAAAAACCCTCAACATGCCAAAAATGTTCTTCCAGTTAAGTATTTGACTTGTGTTTTTTATAAGTGCCTAAGGGCAATTGACATTATTACATACAGTTTATGTACTTATGCAAAAATAACAGTAACCAAAGAAACAAAATGCTATATACTTTTGAGTTTAAATGATGTTTGCTCAAACAATCCAAATATTAATCTTAATTTGCCAAATGTAATGAAAGAAACTATTTTCTTTTCGGGAATAATTACTTAACAATAAAGGTTACTGAAAGATTGTTTTTAGCAGTACACAAATACATAAAACATACCATAAACATCATAAATGTAAGATTTAGTTTTCGACCTGAGATCTATTCCCCTTCAGAAGACAGTTACTATTTATCTGTTTTTGTAATTGCATGTAAACAATATTGTAGCACCTTAGCATGATTGTAATTGAGAAGAATTTGCTTGAGCAACTTTGCTAGTACGCTAATCTGAATAAATATATTATTATATCATAAATCTGCAATAAACCACAAAATAAGATAATAATAAAAACTGTGACAAAATAACATAAAAACAATGACAAAATAAGATAATGATGAATTCAAAATAGAAAGTATTCTCAGGCTATGTTCACAAAAGGGCTAACAAATCACAGATAAATCACTACTTACCAACTATGAGGAACATTATTGCAAACTTAAAATCAAATAAATATAATTAAAACAATGAAAGCGCATATCTTAGGATATTATCTGATGCTTCAAACCCCGATCAGAAATCTCGGCAGTGAGGAGTTGAATTTTCTTGAATATACTTTACACAGAGACGATAGGGATACTTTAAAAAGTGAAGTAGTCTATATTTACAAAACCTCTATTGACACAATTGTAGCCTCAATGAAGAACAAATAACATGAATACCAAATATTGATGCACAAACCAAGTGAAATGGTCTACAGGAGGACAAATATTAAACAATAAGAGGAAGAGCAATATATGAGAACTTTCTTAAATCAGACCTAAAAAGTCTCATCTGAAATCAGGATAATGATGCTAAAGTACAGGATGATGTTACTACTGATGGCTATATGTATGATGATTCTGGTGATGAAAAATGTATTTTTAACAAACGATATACCAACAAAAGTATCAAACAAAACATCAAAGATTAAAAAGAAGAACGAATTTGAAGTTATGAACAATGTGGAAAAACATCGACATATTATAATATTCACAAATAGACGAAGTGGATCAAGTTTTATTGGGAAATTATTCAGCGAACATCCTGATGTGTTTTACATGTTTGAGCCGCTAAAACCTTTGGAGTTTATGAGTGAAAAGAATATCATGGAAGATATTGGATACAATTACACAAATGACATCATAAAATGTAAGTTCAGTAGTTTGTATAACCATTCAATACACCACCCCAAACAACCATGGAAAATGAGCAAAATCTTTCCTGGATATAACAACATGAATGATATTTTGAACACTTGCAAAGAGAAACCGATAGTTGTAGGTAAAATTATTCGTATTCATGACTTGGAGAAACTAATTAAAGCTGTCGCAAATGACGTTCAGATTCTCTTACTGTTAAGGGACCCCAGAGGAATCCTCAATTCAAGGATACACGAAAAAGAAAAGTATAAAAATATGGCATTGCATAAGAAGAAACTTGATATGAAAAAAGTATGTGCTATGGACTTGAAAAACCTCAAATTCTTCCTACGAATAAATGACGCCCAAGAGAAATCACTTTCAGATGAGTCTCGCCAAAAGATTGCTGACGACAAACGAAATTTACCTCTTCATGGACTTAAACGATCCACTGTTAGGGTTCAACAACATAACATTAGGCTTATTCTTTATGACAAGTTTGTATTAGATCCCATAAAACAAACTTCAGAGATCTATCAAAGCCTAGGCCTTCAAATGCATGAGAATGTATCTCAGTGGTTGATGAAAAACAGCAATCAAAAATCAAACTTGACCTATGGTACATCTAGAAAATCTGAGGATATGGCGAGAAAATGGAAAACGGAGCTTTCAACATCTGATTTGAAAATGGTGGAAAATATTGAAGAATGTTTAGAACTAATTCAAGTGTTAACAAGGCATTAACACACCAACTGCCGAACGCTGAATGCAGAACATCAACCACAGAATGCCGAACACCATCCCCAAAAACTTTGCCCATGCTCCGACTATATCCGATTATTATTGGAAGGTGCACCAAACAGAGGTGATTTAACGTCCAGGCAAATTCAATAAGTATCCCATCGAACGAAGTTCGGAGGGATATAGGGAACGCCTCCGTCCGTCCGTCTGTCCGTACGTACGTACGTACGTACGTACGTCCGTCCGTCCGGGCAATAACTCAAATACCGTTGGCACAATTTTGTTCATATTTTGTACACATATACCCAATGGGTATAGAAGTTCTGCTCGAAAACCGATTTTCAAAATGGCCACTCATTTAAAAATGGCGGCCATTTTAGTGCCGATTTTACAGTAATTTAAGTACTGCATATAAAACTGTGATAGCAATATGTTTTAAATGTAAAAATGTTATATAGGACATTGATTAAGCTAGAAATGTAAATACAGAAAAAATACATGGCAGCCATCTTGAAAAATGGCACCCATCTTGAAAAATGGCTGCCTTTTTACTTTTTACGATTTTTGCTGTAACTTGAAAAGTAATAGAGCGATTTTGTTCATATTTGGTATGTGAATACTTTAAGCATGGCACAATGTCTAATGATATTTTTGGTAGTAGGCGGCCATTTTGAAAAATTATTTAACATTTTTTACTATAACTCAAAAAGTAATAGAGCGATTTTGTTCATATTTTATATGTGAATACTATGAGCATGGCACACTGTCTAATGACACTTTGGGTAGCAGGCGGCGATTGTGAAAAATGGCCACCATTTTTACGTTTTTTACTATAACTTGAAAAGTAGGAGAGCGATTTTGTTCATATTTGATATGTGAATACTTATGAGCCTTGCACACTGTCTCATGACACTTCGCGTAGTAGGTGGCCATTTTAAAAAATGGCTGTCATTTTTTACATTTTTTACTATAACTCCAAAAGTATTGGATCGATTTTGTTCATATTTGATATGTGAATACTTTAAGCATGGCACATTGTCTAATAAAACGTTGGGGAGTAGTCGACCATTTTGAAAAATGGCCACCATTTTTATGTGTGTTATTTTACGTTTTTTATTATAATTCAAAAAGTAATAGAGCGATTTTGTTCATATTTGATATGTGAATACTCGTAAGGATTGCATACTGTCTTATGACATTTTGGGTAGTAGGCAGCCATTTTGAAAAATGGCCAGCATTAACATGTATGCGTGGGCGATTTTTTAAAAATTTTATATGTGGCTACTTAAAAGCATATTACTTCTTCTGACAACAACTTGGCTAGTGAGCAACCATTTTGAAAATGGTGGCCTTTCTTATGGGTTTTATTTTACGATATTTGCTATATATTTTGTTTGTAAAATGCCAGCCATTTCTGTTCGATGGGATTCGCTACGCTTTGGCGTTGCCGTTGTTCTGGTTATTCATTTCTTTAATCAATTTACCAAATTGTATTCTAGATCAGGCCCATAGCCAGAGGGGGAGCTGGGGAGCGGAAGCCCCCCCCCCCAGCCAAAAATTCTTTCAAAATCATGCAGTTTTTCCCCATTCTGAGAATTCTTTGCATGATTTATAACCAAAATTGTGAAAAAGCTCCCCCCCCTGAAAAAAGCTCCCCCTCCTGGTAAAAGCTGGCTACGGGCAAGGACAAAGTACTTCTTTTAAAAAAACACTTGTTACTTCAAGTTAAGCCTAATGGGTACTTACTAAATCGTTTATCAACTCGGCATGTCACATTAATGACACCATAATTTACAGAGGTAATAAAGTGACATATTTGTAGCAAACTATCTAGTTAAGTTTTATTCGTATCACTACATTCAACTTTTACAATGTGACACAAAGCAAGCGTATATTACAGATCATTACATTCAACTATTACAATGTGACACAAAGCAAGCGTATATTACAGATCATTACATTCAACTATTACAATGTGACACAAAACAAGCGTATATTGCAGATCATTACATTCAACTATTACAATGTGACACAAAGCAAGCCTATATTGCAGATCGTGTGTTTTAAATGCATGATAAATTACAATGTTACATAGAAATCAAGTCTAGCAATGGTCATACATCACACAATTCCACAATTATTAAATGGATATTGACTCAGCAAGGTGGGGAGAATTATATTCAAGCCTTTGTGAATGGGTATTTGATATTCAAATATAAAAGGAACTCCAAGCTTAAACTCAAATTTACAATTTTCAAAGCAAACAAAGTATACGGGTTCTAACAGCCTGAAAAGGAAGCGCAGGAAATAACATGATTGATAAATATTATTAGAAATCACTGTGATAACTGATAAAGCCTGGATATATTCAAAATAATATGAATTGTGAGTTAAAAGTAATGACATTTGGAACCATTTTAAGGCGTGTATTAAAGTATGCTTGGTTTAAATGAACTAGACCTGAACACATGTCAAATGGTCAATATAAAGTCCTACAGCATAACAAAATCATAATAAATATCAGGGTTAAGCTGGGATAACATTACCCTTAGGACCAGCCACTACACTCTGAGTAAGTACAGTTGGTGAAGCTCTCTTTTAAGAAGCTAGATTAAACTATTGAAAAGGATTGATACCTCAAAGATCAAAATAGGAACAAATCTACTTCAAATACCTTCATGGTATCCAGAGTTTAGAAGTAATAATAGCTGACGAAACTCTCTTTTAAGAAGCTTAATGAAACTATTGAAAGGGGTAGATACCTCGAGGATCCAAATGGGGACAAATCTACTTCAAATACCTTCATGGTATCCAGAGTTTAGAAGTAATAATAGCTGACGAAACTCTCTTTTAAGAAATGAAACTATTGAAAGGGGTAGATACCTCAAGGATCAAAATAGGAACAAATCTACTTCAAAATACCTTCATGGTATCCAGAGGCTAGAAGTAATAATAGCTGACGAAACTCTCTTTTAAGAAGCTTAATGAAACTATTGAAAGGGGTAGATACCTCAAGGATCAAAATAGGAACAAATCTACTTCAAAATACCTTCATGGTATCCAGAGTTTAGAAGTAATAATAGCTGACGAAACTCTCTTTTAAGAAATGAAACTATTGAAAGGGGTAGATACCTCGAGGATCCAAATGGGGACAAATCTACTTCAAATACCTTCATGGTATCCAGAGGCTAGAAGTAATAATAGCTCACGAAACTCTCTTTTAAGAAGCTAAATGAAACTATTGAAAGGGGTACATACCTCAAGGATCAAAATAGGAACAAATCTACTTCAAATACCTTCATGGTATCCAGAGGCTAGAAGTAATAATAGCTAACGAAACTCTCTTTTAAGAAGCTAAATGAAGCTATTGAAAGGGTTACATACCTCAAGGATCAAAATAGGAACAAATCTACTTCAAATACCTTCATCGTATTCAGAGGCTAGAAGTATTTACAACTGAGAAGCTAAATGGAACTACTAATATAGTATTCAAAAGGGTTGAAGATACTTTGAGGATTCAGATAGGAAACTACAATCTACTTTAATATACCTTCATTGTATCCAAAGTCTAGTCACAATTACAGCTGATGAAGTGAGGAAAATTAAACTGTTTTAAAAAGTGGATTACATAAACCAACAAAAAGATGGTTGATTCAACTAAGATGTGGCTCAAACACTCAACTAAAGTGATCATTTTCTTCATATCATTTCCATTGATGATTGGGTATTTAATATATACCAGGGAATTCGCGTCAGTGACTTATATCAAATGGAATAATGAAACAGCTAAAAACATATCTGAACCTCAAAGAATTCTTCCATACAAAATCAACAATGAAAACAAAAACTTTCTGACAAAGAAGGAAAACAATCCCAAAGTACACTTTCAAGATGGAAATCTTACTTATAAAGTTAATGATGAAGATATTAAAAAAACAAATGTAAATGAGAAAGAAAATCATCACAAGGTACATTTTCAAGAAAGAAATCTTACACACAAATTCAACAGTGGGGACTTTAACAAATATCATCAGAAGGTCCATTTTCAAAATGGAAATCTGACACATAAATACAGCAATGAAGTTTTGAACAGCTCCTTTCCTAAAGAGAAAGAAAATTATCACAAGGCACATTTTCAAAATGGAAATCTGACACATGAATTCAACAGTAAAGTCTTAAACACAAACCTTCCAAAAAAGAATCATCGCATTGTCATAATGACGAGAAGAAGAAGCGGATCAAGCTTTATCGGAGAATTATTTCAGCGAAATCCTGATGTATTCTACATGTTCGAACCCTTAAAACCATTGGATATACTCAACTCAAAGGACACGCCACAGGTTATAGAGAGCCTTGGATTTAAACATCTGAGAAATACTATGAGATGTAACTTTGATAAATCATATGTAAATCTGCTGATGAGGTTCCTAAAGCAACAAAAAACATGGACAATGAAACGAATATTTCCAGAATGTTCATCCTACAAGGACATTAAAGACAAATGTGCCAAAAAGAAGAATGTTGTCAGCAAAACTATACGAATAGACTCTTTAGAAGGTTTGGCTAATAATCTAGGAAGGAACTTCACAATTATTTTACTTATTCGAGATCCACGTGGAATTTTCAATTCCAGACTACGGGAGAAAAAAGCATATGCGGATCTCTCATTATATGAAAAGACAACAGACATGAAAGTACTGTGTTCGATGAATGTTAAGGATCTTAAATTTCTCTCAACAATAATAGAAGATAAATCAGCATATATCTTTCCAGATCTCCCTTCATTAGGACTCATACTCTATGAAGACTTTGCATTAGACCCAATGAAACAAGCAAAAGAAATGTACAACCATTTGCGGATGCCATTTCATGAAAACGTGAGAAAATGGATATTAACACATACATCTAAACCAAAGAAATACAGTGCCATGAGTGACTCTAGTCCCAAATACCTGTATGACACAACAAGAAACTCTAGTGAAATAGCAAACAAATGGAGACTGGAACTTTCGTTAAAAGACATTAAGATTGTTGAGTCAATTCCAGAGTGCGCAACTTTGATAAAAATGATTGCGACACCCAATAAACTGTCAAAATACTGGTATCACAGCAGATAATATTTCGCTTATAAAAAAATGTGGACATCATGTCATCTTTGCAATGTTATAATTACTGTTGACAGAATTATAAACACAAAATGTTATTCAGTGGGTCAAAAGGCAAATCATATGTGTACGAGGGTTGTCCCAGAAGTAATGCACTATATGCTCTAACTTTCTTTAATATTCTTTAATTCAGCTGAAATTTTGTGTATATAACAATTGAAGTTTAATCTATTATATCCTGAAGTTTCAGCATCCAACAATAATTTTAAGTCTTAATATGGTTGCTATAACAACATGGGGGTAGGGGTGGGCGGGGCAGGTACCAATTTTTCTAATTATTAAAAGATCTAAAGTGTTATTTTATTAATATTTCTTTCCTTTAAATAGTCAAAATGTTTGGGAGATTGTTAAATTTATTCAGCATGATGTTAACCAAGTACGAATAATGACATTTAGCACTGTGATGTCATAATACCACATTTCAATAGTCCGAATTCAAATACAGTCACAGTCAAGAAATTGCAAACATGGCTGCAATTCTCACCTGATAAGAGAAGGCCTTGCATTTGGTGGCCTAATTTCATACTTCACTTGGACTCACAGCCACGCAAAACAATGCTACCATGAAGAAAGTATATAAGGAGTATATACCAGATAGAACTACAATTATGGGGTGGCAGAAGAGATTTAAAAGAGACGATTTGACCTGTATGACAACTCCAAACATGAGAGGCAAAAACTCAACAAGTCACGGTGGAAGAAATTGCCGAGAGTGTTTGACCTGACAGGCATCAAAAGTACATAACATGCAAAGGGCAATATTTTGAGAAAATGTGAAATGGGACACTGTGCAATATACATCCATTAAATCTGGGGTGTGCTCATAGTAATTGAGTATCTTAAAATGTATTTTTGAGCATACTTCTTATAGCTACACCAAATGGTATTTGTTGATTAATTATTTCATATTTTCAATTTTTTATTCCTTTTGACGTGACTGTATAACCTGCCCCGCCCTACCCAAACTCACCAACTTGATTTTATTATAACATCAATATAGTTTTATCAGTCAACATGAAATTTTCCAGAATAATCAAAATGTCTCCAAGGAAGATTTACTGAAAATTTCATGGAAAAATATCAATTATTGATAAAGTTGATAAAGAGCATATAGTGCATTACTTCTGGGACAACCCTCGTATATATTTAGCAATCACATTGTACCTCAGCCATGTTCTGAGAAAGAAGATATAATTGTTAGTGTTCTTCCCAGAATTTTTCTCCCAAAAAATGCAATGCATGCAATTCTTTTTAACCTCTTGAATCCCAGGCTCTAAAATCAGTTGAAACCAGAGAATTTTTCATTTTTGTCACCTTTTGACATTTTACTATATACCTTGATGCATGCTCAGCTTAGTAAAATTAGATGGCAGAGATCCTTTCTACACATTCTAAAACAATTTTTGTGTAAATTGGATGAAAATTGTTCAAATAGAGCAATTTTAGTGAAAAATTTTGTTACAGATTTACTCGTCACTCTTGGTTTCAGGGTCATATCTGAGGCGACAAGAAATCTCGTCAATCTGGGTCATCAAGAGGTGAACCAATAACCACAAGAAAATTGTCAAGATCTCTTATTTGTACACTTATTCATTTCAATTTGGTGCAAATGGGCCCTGAACTTGATCAACATTAATTTTCAAATTCTAAATGAAGTACAGGACTGAGTTGTTTCAAACGCTGGGGATATCACTGACTGAGAAATTGACTTTAAATTAAACTAAGTTGACAGCAACATTGTACTTCTTAAGGGGAGGCATCAAAAGTTCGATGTCGGATAGAAAACTAAATAAATCTAGTTAGGGGGGGAGGGGGTTCAAACCCATTTCAGTTTGCTATCCGACAAATTTCAACATTTCAATTTTTGGCAATTTTGACTCAGAATGCCTTGGAATGGTTTAAAAATAAAGATTTACCTGATGCTTTCTTCATCAAGATCATTCCAAAGGATTCTATTCTATCAATAGTTGTTAAAAGCCGCAAATTATGATAGGAATTAACGAAAACTAGATCGTGTTTAGCAATAATTTTTCAAATTCTCAAACTGGAAGTAAGCAATCAACTTTCACGGTATTTAGTTTTGGGGGGGAGGGGGGGGGGGTGGTCAGAGTCAAAACTAGATTTATTTAGTTTCCAATCCGACATTGAACTTTTGATGCCTCCCCTTAGGTCAATAAGAACTCACCTCTTCTCCAAATATAGCAACTTTGGGAAACTGTTTGTGTAGTGATGCCATGATGCACATCTGCGCAGATCTATCTGCCTCTGTTTGGAAATCATTCTTGCCCTGAAAAATAAAAAAAAGATCCTTGATGACAAATTTAGTTCTGGACATTACTGGATATGCAACTGTACAGTAGTTAGATTGAAATAGACATAAATACAGTGAAACATGTCTATATCAAACACATTTCTAATCTGAACACCTTTCAATGTGAACACATTTTAAGCCATGAACATCCATGTAACAAAATCCTAAAATGTGAACACCTGCTATATCTGAATACTTTTGACTGATCCAAGTGATTCAAAGAAGATTACATTTTCAAAGTGAGTTAATACTTTTTTAAACCACATTTCTAGGTGCAATTTTATATGTAGACTTCAAATATGATATCCCTTTAACTAAATTTTGAATATTTAATGAAGTAAATCAAGACTGCTATACTCGCATCTAGTATGAATTAATAAACACCCTTCATCAGCATTTCTAAAAACTTTTAGCAACTTTGTATTGGGTTATATATCACAATTTTTTAGTTTATCTCCAGAAAACAACCATCGCTGTTAGAATATGTGTATACAATACTTTCATTTGTTTTAAATGAAAAATAAATAAATTGAAAAATTTAATTTCTTTGTACTGTGATATTCTACAAAAGTAGTAGTTTCAAGAGTGTATAATATCCATGGGAAAAATCAATTCTTCGAGCCAGAACAAATGGATATCATTGCTTGGTAAATGTGTTTTACACCAATATTAAATTCAAGTAACCCTTTACAACTAAAACAGAATGAGAGTCCACCCTCTGAATATAATGCGAGAAAGTGAAAGAGAACACACATGTTTGTGCAATATATTTCACACACATAACTTCCAAAATGATTTAAGGGCCGGGTCAATATTTCAATGTCCGTCAAATTACTTTAGTTAGCCCCCATTCCCCCTTCTAACGAAAGTCAAAATGTTGATTCACACAGTGTAAATGAGTCGAAATGTTGATAGCATGCAGTGTACAAGTACAAGCCCAGCATACAATATCTGCTACTGCTTTAAACAACACATCAAATTCTCTTACATCACTGTTGCATATTTAATGATCATACCATTGCAGAAGATGTAACTCTTGGAAACTAAAAATCAATGTCGTCACCTGATGAAATGGGGCTTTATCCCCTTTAGCCTTACGTAATTAATTATGTTTTTTGACGGGCATTGAAATATTGACCCGGCCCCTTACATGTACACTTATAAGGTCTTTAAATACCTCAAACATTTTTTCTCACCATATTCAAAATGGTGTGATCAATTACATGTAATCTAAAAAAATGGTCAATAAAATAAAAATCAATAGAGTAGACCATGGGCATTCAAATATTGAAAGCCAATGGGTAGACCAAAAGGCAACAGGCCCGTAGCCAGGATTTGCCAAGGGGGGTTCACTTTTTGAAAATTTCCAGGGGGGGTTCACTTTTGACAATTTTGGTCCAAAAACACTTGTTAAAATGTTTAAGTGTTTACACTTTATTTAACTTTACAATATTAGCTTACAAATGACAGGGCCACGGCTGAATTTAGCATTTTTGGCCCTGTTAATACAAAGTATATGCAACATAAAAAAATTACTACCAACATGTATGTATGTATGCATGGCAGGAATGTGTTTAAACTATATAATTTTATCAATACATTTGCACAAAAAGGTAATAAAATGCTTCAATACTGAAGAATTGCATGTTGAACTAACTCCATCTCTGCCATATATTAGATATTTTGCTTTTGTCAATAGAGCACCCTGTAAAGAAAATGTTCATTTCTGGCATATTCCAGAGTTCCTGAATTCTGCAGGATAATTTTCCAGTTTGTATGAATAACTCGTCTGAAGTTCTTCTGGATTTTAATTTTTTTAAATACATATTTCCCTTCAATTCCTCTTGATAATTAGACTGATCTGACAAGTCTGAAGAGTGATTAACATGTGTACAAGAAAGTTGATAGAACCTGGAGATAAAACTCACCATTCATGCAATTAACCATCTCCACTCCCCCCCCAGAGAACTGTTCAAAATTTCTCATTATGGCCCTCATAGAAACTTCATGGCTTGGACTGGTAACATAACCCAAAGGCCTGATACAAGACATATAGGTTTAAATCATCTCCAATTCATTGAGTCCTGGGCTTAAATCCTTAATTATGTTACACATTGGACAATTTTGGCAGTACAATCTACAAGTGTACCATATTTGCATATCTGAAAGGGTGACCTGGTACAGTTTCATGTTTTCAAGTACACACAGGTTAAAAATTGTATTCTGTTGTTGAAGTTTTAGATAAGACAGGATATCTTAACTAATGTCCATTTTTAACCTTTAACTGAATTTGAAATCATTCATAAAATTATTTTTAATAATTAGAGCTCACAAAAGGCAATATTAAAATGTATATAAGTATATAAATATCTAAATAATATTTATAATTATCCTCAGGGGTGAATCTGAAAGCTGAAAGGGGGAAGAGACACACTCACAGTCTGAAAATAATTTAGCCCCTAAAACCAACAAAAACTGGGCCCTTTTGAAAATTTAAGGCCTAATTTCTTGATACATGTAATTTGGCCTGACATTAAAAAATAAGGTCAAAAACACTAATTGGGAGCCTATAATATATTTGGCCAAAATCTTTTTTCTGGGCCTGTGATCCTATATTTAGTACTGGTGACTATATCAACTTTCTGAATTTTTCTGATTTTATCACTTCTCATTTACTGCTCTTACAATTCTGCATACAAACAGGGACACTGGGACATGAGCTGAATATTGTACATATTTTGTAAATTTATGGCCATAAAATCTTGATCATTGGAAGGGGTTTCATTAGCAGCAGGCAACAGGTGATTTTCACCAGTTGTAATATCACAAAATCGCCTATTGTTTTGAGGGACTTTTCAACTTTTCCATGATAAATTTATCATTTCCATTAATTTTGATTGTTATTTTCATTGAAAATGAAACTTGATAGAATGAAAGAACATTGAACATGCTTAATAGTGCCAAATATGACTTTTAACCCATTACTGACATTTGTTTGGGTCACCTTTTTTGCCTCACATTTTCAGAGGGGTGAAAAAGTAATTTCATCATATAATAGGGTCATTCTGACCTTGTACATTGTGATCCTGGTCATGAAAATGATATGTGGAACTAGTTAATCAGACTGAAGGTCAAAACAGAACTCTTTTATCTTGGTTCAAAAAATATTCAAAATCTAGCATGGTTTTGTCATTTTCTGTTTTGTCATTTCCTGTTACTACCATGGCACCGACAGATAACGGAAGTTGATAGTTGTGGAATGATGTCCACTAATAACAGTATAGATGTCGCTTGATGATATAAATTTCCAAATGTAAATATATGTCTCACTGATTGGAGGTATCTCTGTATGGAGTAGGCCTAATTTACTCGAGGCTCTAGCTTACAACTAGATGTAACTTCATTGATTTCGTATGTACTCGTATTTCGTATGTAAAAATTGCTACACGCACCTAGAAATCATTTTTAATAAATTTCATAAATATTTTTAAGAATATTAATTATATTTAGGATGAAGTGTTGCTTGTTTTGATTTAGATATTTCAAAATTTCTTTTCGAAGTTTGACATATGGTGAAATTTTCTCGCTGTAGCTAAAAAATGGCTTCCAGTTCCGAATGGAGGAAACTTTGAAATTATTTATTCTCGCTTAAAGGCAGAATCAGATCTATAGGGGGTGACAAAATTACAAGCAATGTGCATAATTGACCTACCAATCTATTCCTTACAGTATCAAATACAGTATCTCCCAAAAGATTCACAATATGTTATAATTTGGTGAAGTTATTAATGATTCAAAGTTCAAAAATGGGTGAAAAATGTTTAAATTCTCCCAAATAATAAGAATGGTAACCATTCTTATAGAAAAATAATACATTATTGTAAAAATCTTTAGTTTTCCTTGAATAAAGTATGCATTTTTGTGATTTTTAGAAAATAGACATGACAAGGAATGACATGAGCCAAAAATATTCTGAAATTGAAACAATTTTTTGTTTAGCCTGCTCGCTATCTCTGATTCTCTCTTTAAGAAATCAAATATAACAATAAATTCAGACAGAGATGTGTGCTGATGTTTCTCAAATCTATACATACAGTTAGGGACATAAATAAATGACAGGTGGATTTGCTGAAGTGAGGATTTCCCATGTTAAAAATAAGAGAATTTACAAGAGGCCATAAATCAGTGGATGAGATTATACAAAATGTAAAATATACAAATTTTAAGGGATATGTATCTAGACAATATTGGAAATTATGGGCTTTCAGACCACCATAATTAGGAAATGGTGATCGAAAATCGACCTGTCATTTATTTTTGTCCCCAACTGTAGAGGTATATTTCATATTATTATGCCGTATTTACTGTGCGTGTGACACAATGATTTACAATATTTACAATACCAAGGCAGATCAATCTTTCTACTCAAAGCCGGAATATAGAGAAGGCTTTGGACCGAAGTAATGCCTAATGAAATCCTCCCACTAAAGTCTGTTGCTATGAAAACAATATTTTGAAAATAATAAAACTTATCAAATTTACCTTTTCAACTATTCCCAGATCCCCTTTCTTCATTACATCTCTAACGATTTGTCCAGCACGGTGAGAAACCGCTACAGATGACGAAATCAACCGTAAAATGAGAGGACAGTTTGCAGTCATTTTTAAAATTTTGATGGATGACCTCCGACTGATTTTCGATAAATTTAAGCAGTTGTCAAACAATCGAAATATAGATTAAACTGAGGTATAAAAACTATCATATAATTCATTTAGATGCGACCCTTAACACAAATGGATTAATTATTCTTGTTGACATTTTGAAGAGATGATTGAATGTCGTAAATCAATTACGCATGCGCAGAAGTTATGCCACTGTCACTTCCTGTAAAAAAGTTGACGTGATTTTATTTTGATTTTTTACAGTATTTCTATGATAATACAATAATGTGGTCATTCTTCTCACGAGATCCTACGAAGGATTTCCCTTATGACATCGGAGAAATAGTGCCAGGTATTGAAGACAAATCTATATGGAGTTTGCACGAAGGAAAGAAAAAGGTAAAAAAATCTTCAGAAAATGAGAAATGATCCACAGGAACTTGCAGCACTATGATATGAGATGCTTATCTGCTTCATCAATATATCTATAGATGCCAGATCTGAGTCAATATATCTAAATAGACATATTGACTCAGATCTGGTAGGTCTATTGGCATCACATTTACTTGTCAACTAAGAATCTTCAAATTGAAAGTTGTTTATTGTGACGAAACGTCATAATCCTGTGTTTTCAATAACGCCGTCCTTACATTACATACACGCAAAATATATCACTTGGACCCGGAAATAAAAAGTGATTGCGTTTTGTGGACGCAGTGCAAGCCATACTCATACAATCAACTTTTGATGAATGATTTGATAAAGATCTTACCTTCAGTCTCTTTATTTCGTCAGAATCCACTAAATAATTGAAGGAAATTCTATTTCTAAAAGAAATAACATTTTCTTTCGAAGTTTCCTTCCCGGAAGTTGATTTCTGATCGAAATAGTACGAGGCATGTGATAGGACAAAAAGTTATCCAATATTCGATTTCCGAGCAGTAATCAGTACGAGTCCTACGATTGGCCGGTAGCTGAAGACCTGATTCAAACCATTTTAAATTGGTCAAGTGCGATCACGTGATCATTATTTGAGACTGCACATGCGCAAGAAACTGAACCAAAAAATTAAACCTCGCGCAGATTGCCCCTAAACTAAACATGCTAAAGCAAAATCAATAGCAAATTGCTTCGAAATTCGCAAGGAAAATGTGTTTTTAATGGGTGAATATAAGTTATACCTCACAAGTGATGGTATCTGTATCATTCAATGACATACTAGACTCGCAAGAACGCTGATTTAGACCAATAAATAGCAAAAGCGGCAATACAAAATTTCATCAATTTATTTCATCCAGTGTAAAAACGTGACTTTGAATTCACGGGAACATTTTTTCAAGGGACGCGTTTTTTTTTAAGGGGAGGCGCATTTTTTGAAAATCATTACGTCCAAGGGACGCAATCTTGGACAAGCCTACTGAAAACACTGTAATCCAATAGATTAGGCCAGTTGTCGGGTGCATAACCCTACGCTAAAGTCACCCCCTCCCCCTTAGAAAATCCTTGGACGGGCCTGTACATGATGTTATCTAAAATTTCAAAGATATTCATTCTCATTTCAGGCATCGGGTGATCCAGTATCAATATTTGCTTTTGATGTGAAAGGAGCAAGCGAATCTCAGGTAAGTTAATGTTACTCATTGTGATCAACCAATCAGATCATGTTTTTTTGCTGATCATTTTTATAGTTATCGATTTCATGGGCTTTGAATAGAATTGAATGCCCATGTCGATTTTTATAGTCTAGTAATAAGACTTTAATACTGTCGTATACAATTTCAAAGTATCACGTAAGTAGCCCAGTTAATTCAATTGGTGTCTGTATTTTTAGCATTTGTATCAATCTTTACATTCTTGTTCTTGCAATCAGCTAGTTACATTTTGCCATGTTGATCCCTTGTTTAACATAATGTTCCTTTTTCTCATTTTAGGTGCAAGTCGCAAAGGGGGCATTTAAAAGGATTAAAACACTGAGACATCCAAATATCCTAACATTTCTAGATGGTATTGAGGTATGGAAAATGATATAATAACAATAATTTATAGAGCTATAAAACAATCAGCCAATTAATGTAAAAAAAGCCATTCGGCTCCGTAGCTCAACTGGTAGAGCATATGAGATCTAATCGGGAGGTTGTGGGTTCAATTCCGACCGAGATGGAGTGACTTTTTCACATCAGCCCTTAGCGTAGGATGTGTTCCTATGTTTCAAATAAACAATAATTCATAGAGCGATGAAACAATCAGCCAATTAATGTGAAAAAGCCATTCGGCTCTGTAGCTCAACTGGTAGAGCATCCGAGATGATCGGAAGGTTGTGGGTTCAATTCCGACCGAGATGGAGTGACTTTTTCACATCAGCCCTTAGCGTAGGATGTGTTCCTATGTTTGAAATAAACAATAATTCATAGAGCTATGAAACAATCAGCCAATGAACCTGACCCACAACATTATCTTACGCCCAATTATAAATCCATTTTCACCCAGTGCTGTTAAATACAATAAAACCTGTCTAATCTGAACACCAAGTGTGATCAGCCGAAATTGCATGGAATGACAAGTGTTCATATTTCAAGGTTTTTAACATGGCAGATTATGTAAATCAAACTGGGAAAAATGAGAGATGATCAGATATAAAGGTTTTACTGTATATTGATTATGAATAGTGAGTACATTATTTTCGCCAGTAACAGGCATGTTCTACATAGTCATGATAAATATATTTTATTTTGTAGACTGAAAAAGTGATATATTTTGCAACAGAAGCTGTTGTTCCCTTGGAAACACATCTCAAGAACAACACGAAAGATGGACGTGTCAATGAGCTTGAAATGTCATGGGGTCTACATCAGATACTGGTTAGTAGACTAAACTATGATAATGGGCTGTAGGTCTTGTTAAATTCTGGTTAGTAGACTAAGTTGGATTCTAGGCATGAGGTTCATAATTCCATATATAGAATTCTTGTTTATTGATTAAACTGTTTCTGGGCAAATGTATTAAGTTCAAGAAGTAACAAAATATTAAAAAGTCATTTTACCATGACAAATGGTGACATATTGTTATCATCTCCATATTTTTTTGTGGATTGTGTTTGGTGGTTGGTGTTTAGCATTGGCATTTAGCGGTTGGTGGTTAGTTTTTGGCAGTCAGGGTTCGGTAGCTGGCATCTGTAACAAATGGCAGGTGTTGACATTTTGTATATAATGCCTCTTGTTATGTTTAAAACAGGAACAGTGGGAAAACTTGTAATGCATATCATAGTCTGGTTCTTATTCAGATTGATTTACCTTATAGAACATAACTGATAAAATTACTTGTGTTAAATATTGATTCATCTGAATTCCAGAAAGGCTTAAGTTTCCTGGTGAATGACGTCAATTTGATACACAACAATGTCTGTATGTCATCAGTGTTTGTCGACAGGGCTGGCGAGTGGAAACTGGGGGGAGTGGACTATATGTACCCTGCCCAGGGGTCAGACAGTATCCCCCCAGTCAAGATTCTCCCTGCCCTAGAGATTTACGACCCCCCAGAGAAAGGTGACCCAGGGAGAGGTGCAAAACGAGGCACTGAAAAATGGTAAGATTGTTAATCATAGAACACAGTAGATTATCATAATATTAGTCTGTATACAGAATTGTCTTAAAAACCTCTCAGAAACCAGAGAATTTTTTATTATTTTATGCCAGATTCTGCCATTTTACTCTCAAAATATGGACAGACTATTTGATGATAATGTTAATGTGATGCATGAATATAGACCAATTATACACATTTTAATCCATGATTTATGTAAATTGATCAAAATTTGTCAATGAGCCATTTTAGTGAGAAATTCTGTGACCCATAAACACTTAAGGTATTCAGGATGTCAAATTGTTAATTGATGGATATCTGAAATTCTTGTTTCCTTTGCATGTGTATAGGTCAGCCGACATGTGGGGTTTAGGATGTCTCATCTGGGAAGTATTTAATGGGAACTTACCGAGGACCTCTGCACTCAAAACAATTGGCAAGGTATGTTTTATTGTATTAGGGGTCCTGCAATACATTGTCTAAAGATGCTATATGTGTCAAAATATTCAGCGAGTGATCAATACACCAAACATTTTCAAACTAAAATTTTATATTATATGAATCATAGGATTAGAATCTGCCATACTCTTAGAAAATTGCATGTTTCACTTACAAGCTGGATGACATTTAAAATCCCTTATGCCAATTGTGAAAATGGAATCCTAACTGTTACACTGGATTAATGCAATCTTGCTCATTTAAACAAAGTGAACTTTTTGTGAGGTTGACTTGAATATGTGAGGCTGACATGAATATGTGAGGTTGACTTGAATATGTGAGGTTGGCTTGAATATGTGAGGTTGACTTGAATATGTGAGGTTGGCTTGAATATGTGAGGTTGACTTGAATATGTGAGGTTGACTTGAACATGTGAGGTTGACTTGAATATGTGAGGTTGACTTGAATATGTGAGGTTGACTTGAATATGTGAAGTTGGCTTGAATATGTGAGGTTGAATTGAATATGTAAGGTTGACTTGAATATGTGAGGTTGACTTGAATATATGAGGTTGATTTGAATATGTGAGCTTGACTTGAATATGTGAGCTTGACTTGAATATGTGAGCTTGACTTGAATGTGTTGAATGAGACTTGGTTGTTCTACTTTGACCTTATTATTCCAGTTGCACCAGTGAGATTTTATATTCCTGTTCAAATGATGAGACTGAACTCTTAATTTCAGATTCCGAAGTCTCTGACTCCACATTATTGCGAACTGGTAGGCGCTAACCCAAGGTCAAGGCCAAACCCATCCAAGTTTATAGAAAATAATCGCAATCCTGGTGGCTTTATGAACAATAAATTTGTCGACACAATGTTCTTCTTAGAAGAGATACAGGTTAGTCTGACACTTTTCATTTATTTATTTATTTTATTCATAAGCTTTGTGTAATTTACTATAAAGGATAGGTATCGATATGGAGAACTGAATTCAACAATGTTTTTCTCTTAAACCAATCATTGAAAACATTCTGTAAAAAAACATGATATTTAATGTAATGTTGACTGATTGACAACAATTTAATGCGAAAATTATTTAGAAATATTTTATATAACTGTTTTTGTTTAAAAAAAATTGTTTTTTTAGTGCAATTGTTTTTGCTCCTTTCTACCAACTCTTGAGAATGAAATAAAATGTCTTTCCGAACCTTGTTGGAACAAAATAGCATATACCCGGTACAACATGTTTTTAGACCTCTTGATATTATAAAGTTATACAAAGGAATTTTTAGTTGATTTTAAAAAAGTATTAAAACAATTAAAATAAAACAAAATCCCCCAAAATAGATAAAAATCAAGAAAAACCTTTTATTTCATTAACAAGATACTTTTTTAAAATCAACCAAAATTTCCTTTGTACGAGTACAATATTGAGAGACCTAAACATGTTGCGTTTATGTCATTTTGTTCCAATGAGGTTTGGAAAGATTTTTCATTTCCCTCTGGAAACAAGATACAAAGAACAAAACAAGTGTTTGATGTGTTTTTTAAAACAATATAGATGAAAGTATGTATATCTATTTCAAATTATATTGTTACCATTCAAAAGATGGCCATTAAATTGACAATTTGTAAGATTTTCAGAGATTTTTTATGACTGGTTTAAGAGAAACGTGTGTTCAAAAAGTTCGCCATATCGATACCCATTCTTTATCATCTGATATCTAAAGTATCTGATATAATATGATGAGTAATATCTATGATTTCTTTTCCGTTTGCTGGTATACAACATACTGTACATTTCATTGAAGAGGTTCATTTGGGTAGGTTATCTAATTCACAAAACTGTATACACTCGGGTTGGGAGCCTGCATGTGCTCGAGTGGAATAAAAGTTCTGAAAATGGCAACTGTAGGGAGCCAAAACATCAATAATGTAAGATAAGTTTTTTGGGTAGTGTAGGAACATTTAAATAGTTTCGTGAACATACTGTATATGTATGCAATATTGCCCACAGCAACCTAAGATGCACTCAAAAAGTCTTAATTTTTGGCTCACACAGTCCGTTGGTCCGTCCATCCGTCTGTTGGTCCGTCCGTCCGTCAACATTGGCCGCACAAATTAAAACTGCTATTCGGATTGAGTCATATCCACATTCATTTTATGCATATCCATAATGCCTATTTGACCTATCATCGCCATTTCCCAAGTTCGCCCGGTTTCCGAGAAATTGCGGATTTTGACGTCAAAAAGTCAAATTTTCTGTAAATACTAGACACTTTGTTGAAGTAGAACTTTCAAATAACTTTTAGTAGTTGCTGTATATGCAACTTATGTCCTCTGAAGATTTCAAAGCTCTTGGAATTACAGTTTTTGGTTTTTACTCTATAAAATTTGACAAAAAGGAGGACTTGTCATTTTCAAGAAACTTTCTCATGTATAATGTATATGGCAATGGCAGGTTTTGTGATTGACAAGTTTCTCAAAGTTTGCCTTATACTTGATCATTTCTTGCAATGAATTACATCATTACTAGATTTAAGCATTCCCTACATATTGCTCAATATATGTCAGCATCAAATTTTTTACCGTTTTTGAGATATTTGACGTCAAAAAACAGTAAAAATAAGTTATTTTTCAACTTGCTTCAATTTGACCAATATTTTTTGAAAATCATCTACAAGTTACCAGGAGTTCAAATCTGACATTAGTTTTAGGATTTGACCTTTACTTGACCTTCAGTGACCTTCGAAAGGTCAAAAAAGTTGATTTTTCAAATTGATTTTTGGATGTAAATTTTGGTCAGCTTAATCACAAAAGACCTTACTGAGCTCTGAATTAGTAAAATTTTCAAGGTCAAAGGTCATCAAACTAGGTCACACAACTGTGCTATCTAAGTTTCTCAAAGTTCGAGACTACAAATCCAAATCAATATTTTTGTTTGAAAGTCAGTATATACATTCCTCTGAAGGTCCCAAACTGTGTGAGCACAGGACCATGGGTCCTTCATTAAAGTTGTCCAATAAAAACACAATATTTTGGCTGCTATATAGATAAATAAAAATATGGTAGTCTCCAATTTTTTTGTGGACAGTCTTTAACAGTCCGCGTTTGGCAATTGGTGGTCCATATTCGGTGGTCAGCATTCTGTGTCTCTAACAAATGGCAGGTGGTGACATTTTGCATGTTAATGTGTTGTTTAATCTTCCATAGACTTCCATGTTAGATCCTACAGGCTCCGGCAAATCGGAACATTTTTGGCCAGTCCCAGTGACATGCCCATCAGACAGGTTTTACTGTAGTTCATTCAGTTTTTCATTTATTTATTTTAGATCAAGGACCAGAATGAAAAAAATGCATTTTTCGCCACTTTATCCTCAGACCTTGACAGTTTTCCTCCTTCATTCTGCCGACATAAAATACTACCACAACTCATTGTTGCGTTCGAGTACAGTAACGCTGGATCTGCGGTGTTGGCTCCACTCTTTAAGGTAAGTCATTTCAATAATCAGAGACCTTTGCCTTCATCCTGTGTAAAATAAATTACCACACATATTATTGTCTTTTCATTAGCAGCATCTTTTCTTGAAAAGGTAACAGTGTGAGGTTCAGTTTTTGCTTACCAACTCTTTTTGGTTGCTCTGTACTGTGGCATTCAATTACCATTGTTTCACAAAAGATAAAAGGTAAAATACAAAGGACCAGGTATAGTATGGCAAGTGATTTTAGATGTCATAACTTTTACAGTGAGTACTTTCTCAATTTAAATATAACATTTCTGGTTAACACAATATGCTATCTTTCAAGTAAATGCTCAAGGATAATAAATTAAATGAATTGAACAATTCGAGAAACTGATTCACACAATATGTTATCTTTCAAGCAAATTCTCAAGGATAATAAAATATATATATATTTTTTTTTTATTCCAAAATAATAGAAAGTACAGTTTTCCCCAAAGAATGGATAGTGGGGTTACAAATAAAGGTTTGCCTAAGACGGCGGCATGAACACCTCATTCTTTTAATTTTTGTATATATGATTTAATATTTTTAATTTCATAGGTTGACTTTTCATAAATACATAGGTGTGCGATTGAATAATATAATGTGTTCCTCCATTATCTTGGACAATTTTTTTCTTTGCTAATGAGCCATGATTTATAGCTGTTATATGCAAATGTTGATATTATGAGATCAATGACATTTTCATGACTTCTTTTAAAAATAATAGTATTGCCAATAACAATATTTTTCCATGAAATTTTAATTTTGAAGAAATATAGATCCACAAGTCTTTTATTAGATCGCACTCTAAAATAATGTGTTTTAAATTATTTTCAACCTTACAAAAATTGCAAATTTTCGAATCTGCTTTTTTCCACTTAAAAAGATCTATGGAAGATGGAAGAACATTATGAAATAATTTGAAGTTAAAGTAAGCTACCTTTTTATCAACAATTGCTATAATCTTGTTATTAAAATACATTTTCCAATTTATGTGAAATTTAAAATCAATCTTCCATTTATCTTTGGTGTACATCCTTTCTTTATTATGATATTCCAGGATATTATAGAAAAACTTAGATTTTTGATCTTTGAAGAATACTTTTTTATTATTATTGTAAAAAAATTGTCCTTTCATAATTTTTACAAACTTAGCAATTTTAGGTTTCATTATTTTTTCAAAAGGTTGCAGTATTTTTCTCGCTAAAGATATTTCTGAAATCCAGTTTCTCTTGTCTTTTAATTTTTCTAAAATGTGTTCTTCTTTAAGTAAATTGCCATTCACATCTATAATATCCTTTACATAAAGAATATCACTTTTAATCCAAGATTAAAAAAAACAGACATTCTCCATTATTTTTCTTAAACAAATAGTTTCCAAAAATTGATTCTTGACAGAGTTTGTCATGATTTATAGCTACAGTATTCCCTCTGTCTTTACATTTATTGAAACTTAGTAATATTTCTTGATAAAATTTAGGAATACTTAATAAAAGTGGCATCTCTTTAGCAGAATTAAAGTTCATTCTAAGGAGTATTTCATTATTGGATGTTATTTTATTAAAATTCCACAGGGGTAAAATATTCCACTGATTTTTTTCACCAGGATGAAAAATTCTATCTATCCAAGATGCTTTTAAAGCACTGAATTGATTGTAAATTTTGAAATTTGCCATTTTTGTCACTCCATTTACCAAGCCCTATTGCCTCAGTTTTTTCTAAATTTAGCTTCATTCCAGAAACAGTGCAAAACATTAATTTGTATTACTTTCCTCAAATTAATTATCTTTACCTAACCGATGAATACATTTGGACATAGTGCAAAACATATTTATTTTCTTTATGGCATTCTTTATGGAATGCTCATCTGCAAGGAAAAGTGTGCAATCATCTGCATATAATGCTGTTTTTATTTCAAATTGGTCCTCATTTAGTTTGACATTAATTCCACGGATATTCTCACTTTGTTTAATACTTAAATTTAACATTTCCATTGATATGATGAAAAGTAGGGCAGACAATGGACAGCCTTGCTTAATTCCCCTGCTCATGTGTACTTCTTCAGTTAACCACCCATTATGTTTAATGACAATTGAGGGATTTGAGTATATCATTTTTACCCATCTTAAGAAGTCATTCCCAAAGTTAAGTTTTTTTTGTGTTAATATCATAAAATTCCACTCAATTGAATCAAAAGCTTTCTCAAAATCAGTTAATACTATAGCGCCATCTTTATTTGTGATCTTACAATATTCTAAAACATCTATTGCTAGTCTACAGTTATTTCCTATGAATCTTTTTTTAATATATGCACTTTGTTCCTTACCTATAATTTTACCTATCACTTTATGGAGTCTGTTTGATAAAATAAATGCTAAAACTTTATAATCTGTATTTGTGAGGCTAATTGGCCTATAATTTTTCAAAAGGTTAGAGTCCCCTTTTTTATAAAGGATAATAAAAATATGAATTGAACAATTCGAAAAATTATGTCAACATTTTTTCGGTATTTAAAGTCTAGTTTTGAAGATATCAATTTTTGGAGAGAATGACAATTTTGATGAATTGACTTGTCTATTTAGTAAATACTGTCCTATATAGATTTCTGATAATATTAAAGAGGCAAATACTCTCAAATCCAAACTTGTGGTCATAATAAAAAAGTTAAGCTGTATAAACATAATATCTCTTTATCAAATTATTCTTAAATATATATGTAATGCATTTCAAGTCCAAGAAAGTCAATCACACTTTTAATAAAGTACACATAGCTAGGAAACTTTGCAATTATTTAAGTAGATATTGTTTAAAGATCTGATTATATATTGTGTATTATAAAATGACTGCTACTATTATAGCTGTCATTCTGGATAGTCCATACCACAACTGGACATTGAAACTCATTGTAAACTTGTTTTGAAGGGTCTATTAAAGGGGAAAGCTTCTTTATGTGACCTACATTAAACTTTTGTCAGCCTAGTCTAATGTGACCTACATTAAACTTTTGTCAGCCTAGTCTAATGTGACCTACATTAAACTTATGTAAGCCTAGTCTAATGTGACCTACATTAAACTCATGTCAGCCTAGTCTAATGTGACCTACATTAAACTTATGTCAGCCTAGTCTAATGTGACCTACATTAAACTCATGTCAGCCTAGTCTAATGTGACTTACATTAAACTCACGTCAGCCTAGTCTAATGTGACCTTCATTAAACTTATGTCAGCCTAGTCTAATGTGACCTACATTAAACTCATGTCAGCCTTGTCTAATGTGACCTACATTAAACTTATGTCAGCCTAGTCTAATGTGACCTACATTAAACTCATGTCAGCCTAGTCTAATGTGACCTTCATTAAACTCATGTCAGCCTAGTCTAATGTGACCTACATTAAACTCATGTCAGCCTAGTCTAATGTGACCTTCATTAAACTCATGTCAGCCTAGTCTAATGTGACCTACATTAAACTTAAGTAAGCCTAGTCTAATGTGACCTACATTAAACTCTTGTCAGCCTAGTCTAATGTGACCTACATTAAACTTAAGTCAGCCTAGTCTAATGTGACCTACATTAAACTCATGTCAGCCTTGTCTAATGTGACCTACATTAAACTTATGTCAGCCTAGTCTAATGTGACCTACATTAAACTTATGTCAGCCTAGTCTAATGTGACCTACATGAAACTCATGTCAGCCTAGTCTAATGTGACCTACATTAAACTTAAGTAAGCCTAGTCTAATGTGACCTACATTAAACTCATGTCAGCCTAGTCTAATGTGACCTACATTAAACTTATGTCAGCCTAGTCTAATGTGACCTACATTAAACTTATGTCAGCCTAGTCTAATGTGACCTACATTAAACTCATGTCAGCCTAGTCTAATGTGACCTACATTAAACTTATGTCAGCCTAGTCTAATGTGACCTACATTAAACTCATGTCCGCCTAGTCTAATGTGACCTACATTAAACTCATGTCAGCCTAGTCTAATGTGACCTACATTTAACTTATGTCAGCCTAGTCTAATGTGACCTACATTAAACTTATGTCAGCCTAGTCTAATGTGACCTACATTAAACTCATGTCAGCCTAGTCTAATGTGACCTATATTAAACTTTTGTCAGCCTAGTCTAATGTGACCTACATTAAACTCATGTCAGCCTAGTCTAATGTGACCTACATTAAACTTAAGTCAGCCTACAGTGCTGGTATATATTTCTGATAATATTAAAGAGGCAAATACTCTCAAATCCAAACTTGTGGTCATAATAAAAAAGTTAAGCTGTATAAACATAATATCTCTTTATCAAATTATTCTTAAATATATATGTAACGCATTTCGAGTCCGAGAAAGTCAATCACACTTTTAATAAAGTACATGTGGCTAGGAAACTTTGCAATTATTTAAGTAGATATTGTTTAAAGATCTTATTATATATTGTGTATTATAAAATGACTGCTACTGTTGAGGCTGTCATACTGGATAGTCCATACCACAACTGGACACTCAAACTCAATGTAAACTTGTTTTGAAGGGTCTATTAAAGGGGAAAGCTTCTTTATGTGACCTACATTAAACTTTTGTCAGCCTAGTCTAATGTGACCTACATTAAACTCATGTCAGCCTAGTCTAATGTGACCTACATTAAACTTATGTCAGCTTTGTCTAATGTGACCTACATTAAACTTATGTCAGCCTAGTTTAATGTGACTTACATGTCAGCCTTGTCTAATGTGACCTACATTAAACTTATGTCAGCCTAGTTTAATGTGACCTACATTAAACTCATGTCAGCCTTGTCTAATGTGACCTACATTAAACTCATGTCAGCCTAGTGACTTATGTCAGCCTAGTCTAATGTGACCTACATTAAACTTATGTCAGCCTAGTCTAATGTGACCTACATTAAACTTATGTCAGCCTAGTTTAATGTGACCTACATTAAGCTTATGTCAGCCTAGTCTAATGTGACCTACATTAA